TAAAGAAAAATTGGATATCAAATTGGGGAGGAGGAGTATGGAAGAAGTGAATGTTTTCAGATACTTGGGAGTTGACGTGTCGGCGGATGGATTTATGAAGGATGAGGTTAATCATAGAATTGATGAGGGAAAAAAGGTGAGTGGTGCATTGAGGTATATGTGGAGTCAAATACTTTATCTATGGAGGCAAAAAAGGGAATGTATGAAAGTATAGTAGTACCAACACTCTTATATGGATGTGAAGCTTGGGTGGTAAATGCAGCAGCGAGGAGACGGTTGGAGGCAGTGGAGATGTCCTGTCTAAGGGCAATGTGTGTTGTAAATATTATGCAGAAAATTCGGAGTGTGGAAATTAGGAGAAGGTGTGGAGTTAATAAAAGCATTAGTCAGAGGGCAGAAGAGGGGTTGTTGAGGTGGTTTGGTCATTTAGAGAGAATGGGTCAAAGTAGAATGACATGGAAAGCATAAAAATCTATAGGGGAAGGAAAGAGGGGTAGGGGTCGTCCTCGAAAGGGTTGGAAAGAGGGGGTAAAGGAGGTTTTGTGGGCGAGGGGCTTGGACTTCCAGCAAGCGTGCATGAGCGTGTTAGGAGTGAATGGAGACGAATGATACTTGGGACCTGACGATCTGTTGGAGTGTGAGCAGGGTAATATTTAGTGAAGGGATTCAGGGAAACCGGTTATTTTCATATAGTCGGACTTGAGTCCTGGAAATGGGAAGTACAATGCCTGCACTTTAAAGGAGGGGTTTGGGATATTGGCAGTTTGGAAGGATATGTTGTGTATGTTTATACGTATATGCTTCTAAACTGTTGTATTCTGAGCACCTCTGCAAAAGCAGTGATACATTCATACATTTCATACATTCCCTTCTTTGCCTCCATAGATAACGTTTTTTGACTCCACATATACCTCAACGCACCACTCACCTTTTTTCCTCATCAATTCTATGATTAACCTCATCCTTCACAAATCCATCCGCCAACACGTCAACTCCCAAGTATCTGAAAACATTCACTTCTTCCATACTCCTCCTCCCCAATTTGATATCCAATTTTTCTTTATCTAAATCATTTGACACCCTCATCACCTTACTCTTTTCTATGTTCACTTTCAACTTTCTACCTTTTACACACACTCCCAAACTCATCCACTAACCTTTGCAATTTTTCTTTAGAATCTCCCATAAGCACAGTATCATCAGCAAAAAGTAACTGTGTCAATTCCCATTTTGAATTTGATTCCCCAAAATTTAATCCCACCCTCTCCCGAACACCCTAGCATTTACTTCTTTTACGAACCCATCTATAAATATATTAAACAACCATAGTGACATGACACATCCCTGTCTAAGACCTACTTTTACCGGGAAGTAGTCTCCCTCTCTTCTACACACCCTAACCTGAGCCTCACTATCCTCATAAAAACTCTTTACAGCATTTAATAACTTACCACCTATTCCATATACTTGCAACATCTGCCACATTGCTCCTCTATCCACTCTATCATATGCCTTTTCTAAATCCATAAATGCAATAAAAACTTCCCTACCTTTATCTAAATAATGTTCACAATATGCTTCAATGTAAACACTTGATCTACACATCCCCTACCCACTCTGAAACCTCCTTGCTCATCCGCAATCCTACATTCTGTCTTACCTCTAATTCTTTCAATTATAAAACCCCACCGTACACTTTTCCTGGTATACTCAGTAAACTTGTTCCTCTATATTTTTACAGTCTCTTTTGTCCCCTTTCCCTTTATATAAAGGGACTATACATGCTCTCCGCCAATCCTAGGTACCTTCCCCTCTTTCATACATTTATTAAACAAAAGTACCAACCACTCCAACACTATATTCCCCCTGCTTTTAACATTTCTGTCATGATCCCATCAGTTCCAGCTGCTTTACCCCCTTTCATTCTACGTAATGCCTCACGTACCTCCCCCACACTTACATTCTGCTCTTCTTCATTCCTAAAAGATGGTATACCTCCCTGACCAGTGCATGAAATTACTGCCTCTCTTTCTTCCTTAACATTTAAAAGTTCCTCAAAATATTCTTGCCATCTACCTTATACCTCCATCTCCCCATCTACTAACTCCCCTACTCTGTTTTTAACTGACAAATCCATACTTTCCCTAGGCTTTCTTAACTTGTTTAACTCCAAAATTTTTTCTTATTTTCATTAAAATTTCTTGACAGTGCCTCTCCCACTCTATCATCTGCTCTCCTTTTGCACTCTCTCACCACTCTCTTCACCTTTCTTTTACTCTCCATATACTCTGCTCTTCTTATAACACTTCTGCTTTGTAAAAACCTCTCATAAGCTACCTTTTTCTCTTTTATCACACCCTTCATCATTCCACCAATCACTCCTCTTTCCTCCTGCCCCCACCCTCCTATAACCACAAACTTCTGCCCCACATTCTAATACTGCATTTTTAAAACTATTCCAACCCTCTTCAACCCCCCACTACTCATCTTTGCACTAGCCCACCTTTCTGCCAATAGTCGCTTATATCTCACCCGAACTTCCTCCTCCCTTAGTTTATACACTTTCACCTCCCTCTTGTTGCCACCTTCCTCTTTTCCCATCTACCTCTTACGCTAACTGTAGCTACAACTAAATAATGATCCGATATATCAGTTGCCCCTCTATAAACATGTACATATATATATTATAATATATATATTATATATAATATATATATATATATAATATATATATATATATATATATATATATATATATATATATATATATATATATATATATATATATATATATATATATATATATATATATATCACACACACACACACACACACACACACGTCAAGAAGTTAGAGAAAATACAAAGGTTTGCAACAAGGCTAGTTCCAGACCTCAGAGGAATGTTGTACGAGGAAAGGTTGAGGGAAATCGGACTGACGACACTGGAGGACAGAAGGGTCAGGGGAGACATGATAACGACATACAAGATACTGCGGGGAATAGACAAGGTGGACAGAGACAGGATGTTCCAGAGAGGGGACACAGAAACAAGGGGGTCACAATTGGAAGCTGAAGACTCAGACGAGTCACAGGGACGTTAGGAAGTATTTCTTTAGTCATAGAGTCGTCAGGAAGTGGAATAGCCTAGCAAGTGAAGTAGTGGAGGCAGGAACCATACATAGTTTTAAGAAGAGGTATGACAAAGCTCAGGAAGCAGAGAGGGAGAGGACCTAGTAGCGATCAGTGAAGAGGCAGGGCCAGGAGCTGAGTCTTGACCCCTGCAACCACAATTAGGCGAGTACAGTTAGGTGAGAGTACACACACACACCAGTGAAGAGGTGGGGCCAGGAGCTTGAACTCGACCCCTGCAACCTCAACTAGGTGAGTACACACACACACACACTACACACACACACAAAAGAAATCTCCATGAGGAAGTGGAAAAGAATTTTTCCTCTATAAGCCCTGCGTGTCGTAAGAGGTGACTAAAATGCCGGGAGCAAAGGGCTAGTAACCCCTTCTCCTGTATAAATTACTAAATTTAAAAACAAAAACATTCATTTTTCTTTTTGTGTCGCCCTGTCTTGGTGGGATACGGCCGGTTTATTGAAAAAAAAAAAAATACCTGAGAGGCATGCTCTGGAGTACAGTGGACCCCCGGTTAACGATTTTAATCCGTGCAAGAGGGCTCATCGTTATGCGAAATAATCGTTATGCGAATGAATTTTCCCCATAAGAAATAATGGAAATCAAATTAATCCGTGCAAGACGCCCAAAAGTATGAAAAAAAATTTTTTTTACCACATGAAATGTTAATTTTAATACACACAAACTGAAAAAGGCATGCACAATTAAATGACACTTACTTTTATTGAAGATCTGGTGATGATTGATGGGATGGGAGGAGGGGAGAGCATTATCTTCTTACTGTTTAGAAGGGGAATCCCCCTTCCATTACGACTTGAGGTAGCAAGTCCTTTTCCGGGGTTACTTCCTTCTTCTTTTAATGCCACTAGGACCAGCTTGAGAGTCACTGGACCTCTGTCGCACAACAAATCTGTCCATAGAGCTCTGTACCTCCCGTTCCTTTACGATTTGTCTAAAATGGGCCACAACATTGTCATTGAAATATCACCAGCACGGCTTGCAACAGCTGTGTCAGGGTGATTTTCATCTATAAAGGTTTGCAGTTCAACCCACTGTGCACACATTTCCTTAATCTTTGAAGTAGGCACAATGGATTCCACAACTGGCATAGGCTTCTCAGGGTTGCCCCAAACCCTTCAAAATCTTTCTTAATTTCCATACTAATTCTCACCCTTTTTACCACAGGGTTGGCACTAGAAGCTTTCTTGGGGCCCATGGTCACTTATTTTCCAGAAACAGCACCGAAAACACTGTAATAATACGAAATATTCCGAGTGTATGCTTGGATGTTACCGCGGAGGCTGGCTGGTAAACAGTGGGACGGCCGGCACATGTGAGGCTGGCTGAGGGCACATTGGACGCGTCTCGGACGAAAATCGGTAAGCGGGTTTTTAATCGGTATGCGCGGCAAAAATTTTGCGATAAAAGTAATCGGTATGCGGAAAAATTGCTATGTGATGCCATCGTTATGCGGGGGTCCACTGTATTGGCTAAAGGTTAAGGAGAATTAATTATATCTAATATTGGCATGTAGTGTTGCCAGAGCATTAGAGTCTTGCCTTTCCTCTCTACCCATCGCTGGGTGTGTGTCTCAGCTGGGAATTCTATTTGTGAGCACTGTACCAGTATATATTTGTCTTTAAGTTGCAAAACCTCCTCAAGTTATACTTGAGGAGGTTTTGCAACAAGAGTTGAGTATACTCTTGATTTTCTTCATAGAGTATTTGTTGTTTTACATTGCATATAATATGCATGACTGATGTACTTATTGACTTCTAAGATTTTTCGTTAAGTTTTCCAGTTCTCTGAGCATCGTTACATAGTGTTTTTTATGGTCATTGTCAAATTTCAGAGTTGTACGGTTCTTTTTATTTCAACACATTAAGTACATTTGGACGCCAGAGAAGATGTCATTTACTCGTCTCTACGGCTATGATGTGAATACTCCCATCAGTTCTCTGCTCAATGACTTTAGGGGCTTTACCGTACGAGAGCAGATGCATAGGTATGTGAAATATTTGAGTCTTCAAGTGAAGCTAGAGAGAGCAAGAAGCAATTTATAAATATCCAGTGTAGTTAACCTCACTGTGTAAATGACATTGCAGTTATTATTAATTATATATGTAGCTTTTATGTTATCTTATTCTATAATTTTTAAATTAAGTTTACTCAACTAAAGACTGGTTTGTTCTGAATTTTGATTTTAATGTTCATGTACTCGTCTGCATACTTTAGCTGATTTGTAGTATCATCTTTATCTAATATTTACAGGAAGGCCTTACACATACAGCACCTCTTCAGTGTTTCATGTTTTCATTGGTTTTCAATTGGCCGTTGTTCCACCCGCTTGTGATAATCGCTGGTGGGTGGAACATAATGAACTATGGCTCAGTTTGAAGCCAATGAATAAGTAGAGTACCTAAAAGAAGGTGCTGTATATGTGGTTCCATTCTGTATTTTATTTTCTCACTCTTTCATGAAAACCTATTATCAAATTGCAGAATGTAAAAATTGGATATGTATTTCAGACCTCTTTTTAGTATTTACATCATTTACCTTTATATCTTTTTACTCCATCAACCTATATTAAACACAGGTGCTAGCTCTCAGCAAGGCAGGATGACCTCCTTTCACACAAAAAAGAGGAAATGCCTATGTTGTCATTCATTCAATCACTATCTTGCTAAAAGTGTGTTGTGCTGGCATCACAGTTCAGATGACCCTCTGAACTGTAATATTCTTGCCTTTCCTTCAAAGTGAAGGCACTGTATTTCCCACTTCCGGTACTCAAATCTAGCTAACTGGTTTCCCTAAATTTCTTTGTAAATTTTACCTTTCTCGCATTCCAGCCACTTGACACCACTCACTCTGATCTATTGTTCTCACACAAGTCAGTTGGATGTTCAAGCCTTTAGCATGCAAAACCTCCTTTACCTTAAGCTTTCCAAGGACAACCCCTACTCCCTTCCACTCGGATATATATACTCTTACTTATCCTATTCTCTTCATCTTATAATGCCCAAACTACCTCAACAGCCCCCTTCTCTCCAGCCTCCTCCTCACTGCAACTTTTAAAGCACATGCTTCACACCTGTATAACAGTGTTAGTACACATATACTCTGGTATATTCTTGTTTTTTGTGTCCATGTATAATGTTCTTTTTCTTCACAGATGCCTCAACAGATCATTCACAACTTATGATAAAAAATATACTTTATAGTGAAAAAAAACTGCTTTATACACCATTCTTAAATTGCTCTTTTTTTCAGACAAAAGCTGTATGGCCTGAATGTAATTAGTGTGGAGGTAAAATCCTATGGTTATCTTTTGGTAACTGAAATTTTGAATCCATTTTATGTCTTCCAAATTGCGTCAATAACGTTGTGGTCCTTCGACAACTATTACCTGTATGCAACATGCATCTTCATTGTGTCCTGCCTCTCCGTCATCATCTCTCTCCTTGAAACGCGAAAGGTGATATAAATAGTTTTTTGTGTTATATGCAGTTGTCCCTCATTTTATGCTTAGATGCCTTCTAGGTCCTTGGCAGTTGTATTAAGCTCAGTCAGGCCATAACCTCTTTAAGATGTATAGTAAAAAATTTTAGTGTGCTTTCTGACCTGTACTAATCATATACAATGGCTGTATATCACACAAAATTGCCAGTGGAAATGCCTGTATAACGTTTAATAACAGTGAATTCTCATTAAGTGAGGGAGATTGATACCTTGTGCGCATACTTGTTTTGTTTGTCATAGAAATGAATAAGCTTGAGTGTTTCCTATGAGATTTGTTGCTTGTTCCTCCCTGTTTAGTTCATAATCCTCAACACAGACCAAGGCAGTGTGAGAACCCTAGTTATTATGTCTATGCCTTAAGGCAGTGAGAGATCCTCAGCTGTTATGACTAGGCCTTAATCCTACAAAATCTGTCTAAAGATAACCTAAACTTACTTAGTTTCATTCAACGTAAACAGAATATACTAATTTTGTGGTATTCCTGCTAATTTTCATGGAATTATGGCAGAAATTAAGGTTGTATATGCTTGACTTGTTTGACAAAATTATTCCTAGCTGAAAATCTGAGTTAGCAAGTTTCCTGTTTAAAAATTCTCCATTTGTAAATATGTACAGTACAAGAAATTTGAAGAAAAATTACATGATTTTTGGGTATATAAAGCTTTACATCTGTAGGCCTCTGGCAAAGCGGTAATAATGTGAATGTTGGTGAAAGCTTCTTTTCTGGGTCACCCTGCCTTGGTGGCAGATGGCCAGCATATTAAAAAAAAAATTTTTAAACATTTTGGGGTATTTTTAGATATGCTCTGTATGGCTTCTTGGATGAAACAAAAAATTCAAGGCCTACCTGTTCTGCTGTTTGGAAGAATTACTTTAATATTTTTAGTTTTGTAAATATTTCTCTTTGATTATCACCTGCTCTTCTGCTCTATTTGTATTGTTTGCCATATTTCCTAAATTTGTAAAAGCAGTATATTCTGTTCCAGTACTTTGTAGCTTGCTTCACTTATTCTTACTCTAGATATCTTGCTCACGAGTAACTGAAGAGTCTTAACTACTTCAGTAGTTATTTTTTATTCTATTTTTTATTCTAGCAAAGTCAATCTCTGCATGACATGGTGGAGGCATCCAACACTAACATTGCCTCAGTTCTTCGAGCAACACCACAAGGACCAGGTACACCATTTAGAGATTACATTTTAATACAGTGTGTGTGTGTTGGGGAAGGGGCATGCATGTGTACTCGCCAGTTTGTGGTTACTGGGTTGATTTTCATCTCCTGGCCCTGCCTCTTAACTTTCCACTTGCCAGATTCACTCCCTCGAAACATGGACCCTGTCATACCTGCTCTTGAAACTACACATTGAGTATGTATCATTCTACTTCCTCACTGATATTCCACTTCCTGACATCCCTGTGACTCATCTGCATCTGTAACTGCACCTGTGTCCCTGCATTCCTGTTTCTTTTGTCTTAAACAGTCTTTCCCTCTTTCCTATCAACTACCCCATGGTATCTTGTATGTTACCATCATGTCTTCCCTGGTTCTTCTGTCCTGTAATGTTATTAGATTCAGTTCCCTTAGCCTCTCCTCATAGTTAATGCTCCTGAGCTCAGGAACAAGCCTTGCTGCATACTTCTGCACTTTATCCAGTTTAACATACTTTATTGGGTACAGTTTAACATGCCGTTTTGGGCACAGTTTAACGTGCTTTTTTAGGTGCAGGTTGCCTACTGGTGCTTGTGTATAGTATAGCACTGTATGTATGTAATTGCCCTTTTAATTTTGTGGGAGGTGAGCTCCAGTCAATTAGGAATGCAGCCTTTAGTTTCACTTCTTAATTTTAAAACTAGTACTGTAGTTCCTATACGATGAAGTACTGTATTCTGATTAACAATGACTGCATATATTTTTCATATTTACTTGGTCATGTAAGAAAGCCGAATTCAAATTGCTAGATGGTCGTAGTGTTTTTTATTTTTACTTTAATATATTGTAGAAAAGGCTGTAATTTATAAGATGAAGATGCCTAAATACAGTAGTCACTCAAGTCACTGGTGAAAAATCTAAAAATTACAGATAAAGTGGAGATCGGCACACGAGAGCTGGTCCCAGGAGACGTCTTGGTCATCCCTCGTGCTGGCTGTACTATGCCCTGCGATGCTGTCCTCATTTCTGGCAATGCCATCGTTAATGAAAGCATGCTTACGGGTATGCTCTTGATCTTGTTTATATTTTCATTTTGGTCAATAATATGTCAATGAGGTCACTACTGTTCTGTGGAATATCTTTCCCTAATCCTGCCGGGTATTGTGTAATTTTTAATTCATTTTGTATAGTAGATTGCAACTCTATCACAGTTGCCATATATTTTTTTCAGTTTGGTTTTGGTATTTCTGTGCCAAGTCTTTACCATTGTCTATCTGTTATAGGTGAAAGTGTTCCAGTCACCAAAATCCCAGTTACAGTGTCAGAGGAGAATGAAATTTACTCGCCTGAGAAGCATAAACGACATACGCTCTTCTGTGGAACATCAGTTATCCAGACCAGATACTATGGTAGTGCTCAGGTTGGCATCTGCAATTTCACCTGCCATCATTCAAGTTGCTCCATGGCAGACAGTATTTCTACTGTGTATCCTTGATGATGTTAAGGCTTTCATACATAACTTCTTTCAGCTCTCAACACTTTGTAGATTATTACTCCAGAGAATTAAAGAATTATTTAGCACAGTAAAGATATTCTCATAAGTTAGAAGAAAGATTTTTTCCTCTTTGAGTAGCGTTTTAGTACACGTCTTCTCTGTTGTTCATTATTCTCTTTCCTAGATTTTCCTTATATTAATAGTCAGTAATCTGATAAAGTTCTCAGTAGCTATTCTGTAACCTATTTGCAACTGTTTACTGATATCACATCATCCATTGGAGTAACTCCTCCTCATTCCTCACATGTGGAAGTGGGTTAGAATTCTTCCCAAGTAAGCCATGTGTGTTTTAGAATGCGACTGAAATGTCTGTTGCACCTTGTACCCTATCAGTTGTTGAAAATAAGAGAGGAAATTCCTTGTTTGGGTCATCTACTTTGGTGGCAAATGGCTAATATAATAAAATAAGACTTTGATCAGTGAGTTTACAGATTGAAGGGAATTTTTGTGGGCCTTGTTACCCTGGTGTAACACTCTCACTGCCTTATATTTGTCCTTTTTTTTTTATCTTATTGAAGATTAGTTTGCGAATATATTTTTAATATTGTAATTATGACTACAAACTACAGATAATGCTATTTTTATAGAAATTTTGCATAGTGTTCTGTGAACACTTTTTTCAGTATATTTTCACAGATTATTTTAGCTAAAATTATTTAATGAAAATTACTGCATTTGTATTTAATTATGATTAATGATAATGCTAAATTAAATCAGATATGCTAATGATGATAATAGTTGTCCACGTTGCTTAATATACAGTGGAACCTCAAGTTTTGAACGTATCGCTTATAGAACTTCGAAAATCTACCGCTTTTTTCGAACCAACTTTGTCTCTGTTATTGAACTTGCCCCTTCTTTCGAACCTCCGGGTACTGGACCTGTCTGCCAGCCCGCTCTGTCCGCGTCCCTGCACAGGCGCCGTGAGCCAGTCTGGCTTTGCTGATGCTTAAGTGAACACTAACCTGCAGTCTCATTCAAACATTTTATGATTAATTCATTGTGTTTAGTGCTTGTGGGACTGTGAAAAAGCTACCATGGGCCCAAAGAAACTTGCTAGTGGTACCCCTATGGTAAAGAAAGTAAGAAACACCATAGATGTGAAGAAGGAAATAATACAGAAGTATGAGAGTGGTGTGCGACATGTTGAGCTTGCCAGGATGTATGGGAAAAACAAGTCGACCATCGCTTCTATCCTGGCAAAGAAAGAACAAATCAAGGAAGCTGATGTTGCGAAAGGTGTTGATATGCTAACCAAAAAAAGACCACAGACAATCGATCAGGTTGAGAAGTTGTTGCTGCGTGGATCAAGGATAAAGAGATGGCAGGTGATAGTGTTTCAGAGATGATTATTTGTGAAAAGGCAAGGAAGTTGCATGCCGATTCAAAGATCAAGGAGATTTGCGCCAAGTGGAATGATGTCCAAATGTTTGTGCAGAAGTACCACCCTGAGCAAGCTGAAACATGCCATCTTTGCAACAAGTTCAGTGACAGAACCATGTCCCATTTTAGGGAAATCTTAAAGAGGCAACAGAAACAGAGGACTGTGAACAGTTATTGTGTGAGACAGGGATCCAGTGACTCTCAAGCTGGGCCTAGTGGCATTAAAAGACAGAGAAGGAAAGTAACCCCAGAGAGGGCTTTGATGTTTAAAGTCCTTATGGAGGGAGATTCTCATTCCAAACACTAACCCCAACTCCCTCTCTCCTCCTCCCTATCTTCCAGATGCCATCACCAATCTTCAATAAAGGTAAGTAAAAATGTTATTTTATATGTTTATTTAAATTTATTAATAATTTTACACTATATTTGTTGTGTGTATGTAAAACTATAATGTAGTACTATCTATAAAATGTATTTTTGTTTATTTGTGAATATTTTTGGGTTTCTGGAACAGATTGTTTTTTTTTTTTTTTTGTTTTTTTTAACAAGTCGGCAGTCTCCCACCGAGGCAGGGTGACCCAAAAAAGAAAGAAAATCCCCAAAAAGAAAATACTTCCATCATCATTCAACACTTTCACTACATTCACACATTATCACTGTTTTTGCAGAGGTGCTCAGAATACAACAGCTTAGAAGCATACACATATAAAGATACACAACATATCCCTCCAAACTGCCAATATCCCAAACCCCTCCTTTAAAGTGCAAACATTGTACTTCCCATTTCCAGGACTCAAGTCCGACTATATGAAAATAACCGGTTTCCCTGAATCCCTTCACTAAATATTACCCTGCTCACATTCCAACAGATCGTCAGGTCCTAAGTACCATTCGTTTCCATTCACTCCTATCTAACACGCTCACGCACGCTTGCTGGAAGTCCAAGCCCCTTGCCCAAAAAACCTCCTTTACCCCCTCTCTCCAACCCTTTCGAGGACGACCCCTACCCCGCCTTCCTTCCCCTATAGATTTATATGCTTTCCATGTCATTCTACTTTGATCCATTCTCTCTAAATGATCAAACCACCTCAACAACCCCTCTTCTGCCCTCTGACTAATACTTTTATTAACTCCACACCTTTTCCTAATTTCCACACTCCGAATTTTCTGCATAATATTTACACCACACATTGCCCTTAAACAGGACATTTCCACTGCCTCCAACCATCTCCTCACTGCTGCATTTACCACCCAAGCTTCACACCCATATAAGAGTGTTGGTACTACTATACTTTCATACATTCCCTTCTTTGCCTCCATAGATAACGTTTTTTGACTCCACATATACATCAACGCACCACTCACCTTTTTTCCCTCATCAATTCTATGATTAACCTCATCCTTCATAAATCCATCCGCCGACACGTCAACTCCCAAGTATCTGAAAACATTCACTTCTTCCATACTCCTCCTCCCCAATTTGATATCCAATTTTTCTTTATCTAAATCATTTGATACCCTCATCACCTTACTCTTTTCTATGTTCACTTTCAACTTTCTACCTTTACACACATTCCCAAACTCATCCACTAACCTTTGCAATTTTTCTTTAGAATCTCCCATAAGCACAGTATCATCAGCAAAAAGTAACTGTGTCAATTCCCATTTTGAATTTGATTCCCCAAAATTTAATCCCACCCCTCTCCCGAACACCCTAGCATTTACTTCCTTTACAACCCCATCTATAAATATATTAAACAACCATGTTGACATTACACATCCCTGTCTAAGACCTACTTTTACCAGGAAGTAGTCTCCCTCTCTTCTACACACCCTTACCTGAGCCTCACTATCCTCATAAAAACTCTTTACAGCATTTAATAACTTACCACCTATTCCATATACTTGCAACATCTGCCACATTGCTCCTCTATCCACTCTATCATATGCCTTTTCTAAATCCATAAATGCAATAAAAACTTCCCTACCTTTATCTAAATACTGTTCACATATATGCTTCAATGTAAACACTTGATCTACACATCCCCTACCCACTCTGAAACCTCCTTGCTCATTCGCAATCCTACATTCTGTCTTACCTCTTAATTCTTTCAATTATAACCCTACCGTACACTTTTCCTGGTATACTCAGTAAACTTATTCCTCTATAATTTTTACAATCTTTTTTGTCCCCTTTCCCTTTATATAAAGGGACTATACATGCTCTCCACCAATCCCTAGGTACCTTCCCCTCTTTCATACATTTATTAAACAAAAGTACCAACCACTCCAACACTATATCCCCCCCCTGCTTTTAACATTTCTGTCATGATCCCATCAGATTAATTGTATTTCCATTATTTCTTATGGGAAATATTGCTTCGCCTTTCAAACTTTTCGACTTTAGAACTAGCTCCTGGAATGGATTAAGTTTGAAATTTGAGGTTCCAATGTATTTGATTGTGTGCAGGTCTGATGTGATGCTGATGAGCTGAAATATCAGCATACAACACACCTTGGTGATGTATTTGCAACTTCACTACTGCAGAGCTCTCACATCTTTCATCATAAATGTAGAAGTTTGTGAATAAAACTTTTAAGAATAGAACTTTGTGTTGCAGGTTCGAGCAGTGGTGGTGCAGACAGGTTTCAGCACTGCTAAGGGAGAATTGGTGCGATCAATACTCTACCCCAGGCCCTTAGATTTTAAGTTTTATAAAGATGCAATGAAATTCATTATCTTCTTGTTTTGCATTGCATCCATTGGCATGTCATACTCAGTGTACATCTACATTTTGCATGAGGTATTAGATCCATGTACTATACTCTGTTGTATGTCTCATATAATTGTAAATGCAGGGAAAAATCATGAGGGACATAAAATTGGACAATAATTGTATAAATCTTGTTTTAAAGAAACACCAAGACAGAATGTTCATGCTTACGTAAATTTTATATTCCACAGGAAGGGTTTCTTGTAACTCTCATACGGACACTGGACATTGTGACAATCGTTGTGCCACCTGCTCTCCCTGCAGCTATGACAGTTGGCACATATTATGCTCAAAGCAGACTTAAGAAACAAGGAATCTTTTGCATCTCTCCTCCAAGAATAAATGTCGCTGGCAAAACCAAACTAGTGTGTTTTGACAAAGTATGCTGTTATTATTACGTATTATTATTTTAATTAATAATAATAAATTTTATAGGTATTAGTTTAATAGTTTGCCTATGTTCAGATTATAAATGTTTCCTAATTATACACAGCATTTTGGGCAGATGTGAGCTAGTATAGGACTAGGTGTTAAAGATATTGGGCCATTGTGAATAACATGGACAACCTTGAATTTAAGGTAGTATTTTCTACCAAATATTCCTGTTGTTGGGTTAAGCAGGAGTGTGTTTAGCATTCATTGGACATGGGTATCAACCCATGGGTAAACATTATTTTTCCTTTACCTTAAGGGCACACGGGTTCTCTGAAGGATACAATGGCAAGGGTTAACACTTCAGAAACTCTGCCAGTGTGTGAGTATATTACAACACAATGCAAGACAATCTTTGGTGGTCATAAGCTCAGGTGAAACCTCTCTCCTTTCTTCATGACATTCACATCCCACACACAATTCTGTCTCTTCAGTATTGAACACTTAACTGAGGTTGTAATTCTTCTTCTTTTTTTCAACAAACCGGCCGTATCCCACCTTAGCAGGATGGCCCAAAAAGAAAAAACAAAAGCTTCTCTTTTTAACTTTAGTAATGTATACAGAAGGGGTTACTAGTCACACAGACTTTATACTCCTTTTTTTTTTTTTTTTTTTTTTTATACATGCATTAGTACGAGACATAAAAGCTCGTATAGTTTTCCCACTCATCCTAAGCATACGACTGATAGTTGTTTACTCCACTTTCCTATGCCAAATGCATCATTTGATAACTAAAAGTGCAGTTTATCTTAGATCTCTGCTTTCTTGAACATCATTACAGATTCTTGCTTAGTCTTCTTCAGATTTAGTCCTCCATGGTTATTAGATTATGATGAGGGAGTGCATAAACTTCTAAAAGCTTGTGAAAAATGAGGCGAGATGGTTAGTGACGCAGAGTGACTGAGGTGTGGGTGGTTAGGGAAAGTCAGTTCTTGGACAGAATCTTCACAACACATGAACTGTTCTAGCTGTCCCAGGACTCGAGCACACCACCTAGCCATCATCTGTAATTCCAATTTCCCATAATTTTTTTTTTCCCAGGCTCATCTGCAAGTACTATGCAGTAGGTATTTGAAGTATATATCAAAGTACTATGTAAACTGTAAAATGTACAGAAGATTATTTGTGTTGATTCTTACTGTACATACCTTATTGGTATGTATAGTGTACTGTACTATATTACAGTGCCATTAAGATGTACATAACAAAAAAGTATCAAAAGATGATGAGTTTCAATGCAAGTTACTGACAAAAATGAAACCCAAACCCTTGATATTTTAACCAGGAAATTTATAATGTACAGTGGACCCCCGCATAACGATTACCTCCGAATGCGACCAATTATGTAAGTGTATTTATGTAAGTGCGTTTGTACGTGTATGTTTGGGGGTCTGAAATGGACTAATCTACTTCACAATATTCCTTATGGGAACAAATTCGGTCAGTACTGGCACCTGAACATACTTCTGGATTGAAAAAATATCGTTAACCGGGGGTCCACTGTATTGTGTATTCTCTTGCTTTTATTTTAAATTCATAGAGTTTAACTTTTTATGTATTTGCAGACTGGCACTTTGACTGAGGATGGACTAGAGGTTTGGGGTGTAGTGGAGGTGAAGGACAACCTTATGGGGACTCCAGTTATGAATGTATCAAGCATTCATTACACTTCCCATCTGATTGCTGCCATGGCTACCTGTCACTCTCTCACTTTCCTCAATGGAAACCTAACAGGAGACCCATTAGATGTAAAGATGTTTGAGGCTACAGAATGGGTAAATTTGCATTCTCTTTCTCTCTCTCTTTAAATAATTATATTAGGTATAAAGTTTTTTATTAAAGGTTATGTTTGTATAGCAGTAATGTATATTTCCTCATGCTAAAAACTATTATCCTACCTCAGCTAATTTTAAAATCTGGCTCTAGTTATGGTGTGTAGAACATCTGCAGTTCTGAGTAAGGGATTGTATTGCACTGAGTATATTTTTTTTAGACATGTACAGTGAAGAATAGAAAGAGTAGATTGATATAGTGTAGTCATATGGTGAGTGAGTGAGAGGGAGGTATATACAAATATAGAAGAGAAGTGATATTAGGGAATAGTTTTTTCCTTTTGTAAAGATAAGTATATCTAAAGTTGATTTTTGGGTAGCCAGCACCTGATATGCTAGACTAACCTTTTGCACTAGTAAAAATTAAGTTGTAAGTAATTAGAGTATTAGTTATATTGTTTTATTGAGTACTGAGGTGGAGGGCTATATCAAACTAACATATCTCAAACCCTTCATCAGGAGCTGGAGGAGCCAGTTGAAGATGATACTCAACGATTTGATAACCTCATCCCCACTCGTGTGCATCCTCCCCAAGCTTCCTTGTTACCTCCTTGCTTTGAGCCTTCCCTTCCATCACCCTTAAGTACCACCACCTCCCCGCCTCATCCCAGCACCTCCCCACCTCATCCCAGCACCACTATTTCTGAGCACTCTGAACAAGTTGGCACTCATGTTGCTGTCCACTCTCTCACTGATGGTGATGCTGGCACTGTTTGTTGTGGCACAATTGACATACAAGATGACAGTTTAAAGCAGCAGGTGATTTTTTCTTCTTTTTTTTTTCTTTAAATGTATAGGGCTCACATTGTATCTTGGTGAGTCTTCTGTTTGGCTGTCTCACATGTACAGGATTACCACAGTGTCTTTGTAACCCCTGTAGGAATTTAGAATATTAAATTGGAGCACAGCTTAACAGCTCTGAGCTTGAATGAACATCACATAACATTATTGATCCTATGATGTTCAGTAGGGCTTGTATACCTAAGCCACATTTTGCCACTGGACCAAGGTGTGTTCAGTCATGAATTCTCCACTCGAGATGCTTTATATGCAAGACAGTTTCGTGAACTTGCAGGGTTTACTGTCTGTACAGGCAGGCCCCATTTATACAGCAGGTTAGGTTCCAGGCTACCACTGTAAAGTGAAACATAGCCTTTTTTTATTTTCAAATGCATATAAAAGCCTGATAACATGTTTACACTATCATATATTAAGTGAGGAATAGAGCTAGACCTAAGAAATGCATATACAGTACACATATTATGTACATTAAAATATTTTCATCCTTAGCTTATAGCGAGTAGTGAATATATTTATTATAGAAAGTCTTAATAAATGAAGAATGGGTATACTAATTGAAAACTGCTGCATTAGCGAGATGCTGTAAATTATTATTATTATTAAAGATTAGCCGGTATTCTCCCGGCCCGGGCCTTTTCCAAGTGGTGGCCCGGCCTTGGCTCCCTCTTTAGGGTGTGTCTGAGACCTAAGTCTCCCATGGGAGGAGGCACAAGTACCTCCTCATCTTTGGGACCAACTGTCCCCAGGCCTAGCCACAAGCTAGGCCTCTCTGGTCTGCCATCCCCGCCACAAGGGGCAAATGGGAATGACAGTCTTATGAGCTAAAGGCTCGGGCTCAGGCACCTACCCTACCCTAGAAGGGTTAGGCATGGTATCGATCGATGCTGTAAAGCGAAGCGCTATGAAGCAGGTCCCTCCTGTACCTTACATTTTGGATAAAAATGTAACAGGCTTTTAAAAATAATATAAATGTTTCAGTAGTAATCAGTTTATTTAAGCTGGATTGTTTTTAAATATGTAGCAAAATAGTGTTCATATTGCATGCAGTATTCATAACTAAGTTGTAAGATTTTGTTTATTGTATTAGTTTTTATTCGCTATTTATAATATTATGTGTACATTGTTTAATGACTGTAATAAATATTGTTTCCACTGCTAGATGTCAATATTCAGAATAATTATTTTGTTTACTGCTCCTTATGTTTATATAATATGGGATTTTATTTTTATTTATTTGATTAGTTTTTATTACAGTATACAATATGTATATTGCTTTGTGGAGTGGAGGAGTTTGGCACCTCTGGTGCACTTGATTCAGAATTAGATGTAAATCATATTTAATGTGAGCTCCAGTACTTTACACTCAGCAGACTGGTACCCTGTACTCTAATATTGTGATTACTCGATTTTTTTTACATGCTGAATGTTCAGTAAGTTGTGCTGTAGAAAGACATTCACAGCAAAGAATGATAATTTTCTTTCAAATCATCATGCAAATGTTATACAGTAATTTGATAGCTTATGGTATGTATAGCATTTCAGTCAATCTTATTTATACTGTTAAAGGTTTCACTTCCCTTATAAATGTATAGTTCTCTGCTTCAAGTGTCTTTCCACTGTTATTTGTTGGCTTACAGCCTTGATTCTGCATCAGTAAGTCCTGTATAATGCTAAGCATGACAATAATGAACTCTTAAATATGGGTTTGGTAGAACAAAATGTAGTACAGTCAAGCACTGAAACCTCAGATGAATTATAGTCAAGAGGTATTATCAACTTATGATTCATCCTAAATTTCAAGGAGCAGTTTTCAATGATGACTCAAAAAAAGGAAACTATTTTTTTTTCCCCTCCAACAGACCGATCATATTCTACCGAGGCAGGGTGACCTAAAAAAAATTTGTTTTCCTTTTTAAATTTAGTAATTTACACAGGAGAAGGGGTTACTAGCCCCTTGCTCCTGGCATTTCAGTTGCCTCTTACAACACAGCTGGCTTACGGAGGAAGGATGCATCCCCACTTCCCCACGGAGATGAAAGAAAAATAAAAAATACCTTATCAGTATCTGAATATCAAAACAGAGTTCCCTATTTTTTTATAAGGATTCTATGCTTTCAGTGCCTACCTGTGCAACAGTGTGTTGTTTGCCCTCTTGCACCACCCTGTGTTGCCTTCATGCATGTTACACATTGCTGTCCTTTGATTATACTGTTGCTCTTGTTTCTGATGATCTAAAAACATATTATAATAAGCAGTAATCATGAACAAGCAATATAAGATGCAAAACCCACAGGGGGATGGTGAATGATAGCTCTAGGCCATTCATGTTGCAGTCAGCACATCTTCAGGAGCTTTCAGTGTTGCAGAAATTGGTAGGAAGTCCAGGTGGATTCGTTCAAGGAAGCAACTCTAGCTAGAGAGTCGTTTCCTAGAAACTACCTGGACTTCCTACTCATTTCTGCAACACTGCAAGCTCCTGAAGATGTGTTGATTGCAACATAAAAAACTAGAGCTATCATTCAACAACTCTCCTGTGGTATAAATTATTTAATACTAATTTAATGCATATAAACTGTTTTGTCTGGAGTGAGTCTTCATCAGACTATGTAAGAGAAAATCGCCGGAGATTTATATCTACTTAAGAAGAATAATATATTTTTAGAAATAACAGAGCAAAAATACTTCATGGTAAAATATTATGTGTAATACATATACTGTACTGTATTGTGTCCTGAAAAAAATGTAGATGACATTGGTGTTGATGAAATATATTTTAGTTGTGTAGTGTGTTAGGAGAGTATCTTTGTTATATATTGTTAAGTCTTATTAACTGTTATGGTTTCAATGTTTCCCTGGGTCAGTGCTGGGTTGAGTAATTAAACTGCACAATATGCTATGCAGTATTTATCAGACAGGAAATGAATTAAGCAATTGAAACATTGTATATCTTTGCCCTTCCTGTATTATAGTTATTTATAGTTTAAGGGAATGCACATTGAGGAAATAAAACAGTATTTTATATTTGAACCTCATTGAGGCCCTCTTCAACAGCGAGGTGATACATACACTACTCTTTGCAACTTTTGTTATAGTATCTCCATGTGGGTTCATTGTGTCACCGACCAGTGTTGTTGAACTTTTAAAATTCTTACATATTTATGTTTAGTTTTGATGTTGCAAGCTTTGGAGTTTTATGACAGAGTTTGGAGGAACCCTCCCAGGGCAGCTCTAACTATGACCAAGTCGCACCCACTGTAGTCAAGCCATGTAACCGAGAAATGTATGTTGATCCGCCAGACATCACAAACATTGTTGAGACTCCATTCCAGGTTATAAACTTAGTTTTGTGTATTGTCAACTTTAAATTTTGTGTAATATCAACCCTAAACCTATTGCTGTACTGTTTATTTTTTATTAGTCATGCTGTCTTAATTTGTGTGTGATCTTTCTGTGTGATGTATATAAGGCAAAATGAAAATTCTGGTTTGTAATTAAGGTTTGAATTGGTCCTGTGAATAATGGATTTGGTAATGTTGTGCATTAACTTGTTTTTGAATACTGAGCTCATATTGAAGTTTTTTGTTGCAAAGTCATTTTACAAAGAAACAAACTACTTTAATGCTGTTATCTCTTTGTGGTAAAATCACTTGTATTCAGTTAATTTCATAACTTAATTCAACAGGAATACTTGTGTGTCAAATATTTCTTATCAAGGATTAACAGCTACTCATTTTTTTATATATTTTCTCAGTTTTGTTGTATAAAACTTGTTGCAGTTATTTATTTTGTTTTCAGTCTTGTGAACATTGTAGCAGACATTTGTTTTATCTGGAAAAAGATAACAGTACAGTATATAATTGAATGTTACATAATTTTCAGGTGCCCTATGAGATTGGCATCTTGCGTCAGTTTCCATTCAGCAGCAGTTCTCAGCGCATGTCAGTGATGGTGCGCAAGCTTGGAGAACAACACATGGATCTTTATGTTAAGGGAGCTCCAGAAATTATCCAGAGTCTCTGCAAACCTGAATCAAGTTAGTAGAATGCATTACTGATTCATACCAGCTTAGTAGAAGCTGATAAAAATGTAGTGTTCACTACAGTACATGCTATTGTACTCTTGTTTAAGTGTCAGTTTTCATGAAGTGTCATTTTTATCATCTTACAAAAGCCTCTTGACTTATTTCTAAAGATTTCAGATGGTGGGTAGACTTTAAACTGCAGTGTTAGACAGGCAGCAAACTCATCTGACTTTATTGATTATTTATAATTACCTGTGTGTAGCTGCATGAGAGGGAGTGGTGCTCATGATCTCCCATCTTCATTGTTTGACGTATAATTTTTTTTTAAATTTCCAGAGTTAAAGTATACCATCTATTGTATTCGGTTCCTTTGTTGTATATTATACGTACTACAAGAAACAAGTCCTATGGTAATTCTTTCTTCTTTCCCTTTTTGTTTCCATGTGATAAGAAAAATATTTTTGGTACAATACTTTGTGAAATTTTTTATATAAACCTTATATTTTATGTATAGACATCTTTACAGAAATATTGAAGTAAAGTACAGTACATATACATTTCTGTGAGTGGTGTTTTTCTGGTGTATTCGTATATTGTACAGTGTTAGTTTTAACAGAACTGTATTAACTGGAAAGCTCAGCTGGATCATGGCCAGAGGTATTTTGAACTTCTGATTCATCCTGCCTAACCCACTGTGAGAACCTATGAGAAAATTGCAGGGTATAATTTCCAGGACAGAGCACTACAGTGTACATCAGGATAGACCATATTAATTTTCCAGGACCAAAACAAAAATTTTGTTTCTGTAAAGTATCAGGTGCTGAATTTTCAGGGCTCTTATGAAGTTTATATGCAAGTTAAAATGTAAAGATGTCCTTTCTAACAGTACCAGATGGCTTGGGGCCTATACTAACCCACTTCACAGTGCAAGGGTTCCGTGTCATAGCTCTTGCTTACCGCACCCTACATATGAAGCTATCTTGGCATGAGGCTCAGAAAATTTCTAGAGATCAAGTGAGTTGGTTGCTTTTATTAAATGTCATATTTTATTTATATACTGGATATAAACTGTGATACAGAAGTTTTGCATCTTAGATACAGTGTACAAAAGATCATTGATTATCTGGCCCCTCTGGGAAGATGTGACCAGCAGATTGTCATATCGTTTTTATATAGCCTATAAACATTATCTGTTTAGATCCTGGATTGAGCAAGACTGTCAGGTAATGTTCAGAGTCAAATAACTAGTGGCTGCATATAACTGATGATCTACTGTAATACACAAAGCTTATTTTTTAATGCAGATTCATTAATTTTTCACACTGAATTTAGGTGGAACAGGATCTGACATTTGTGGGTCTGTTGATACTGCAAAACATGTTAAAACCAGAGACCTCTGCTGTCATACATCAGCTACAGCAGGCCAATATTAGAACACTTATGGTTACAGGTTAGTTATGTAAATAATGTGTTGTAATTGCTGTATATGCTATGTCTGATTACCTCTTATTTTCCAGGTGCTGTATGACCCCTACAGGTTCAGCACTTCCACATGAAAAAAATAATAATGTTTATGCAGTAACATTAGTAAAACATTTTTGAGCTTGTATTAATTTCTGGTTTTTCCATGGCCTGTACAGTGTTGTCACTGGATGTTAATTCTCAAGTATCTAATACTTGTTCTTAGAATGTACCAATTTCATTTATCAGAATTGATTTCATGTAATGTTTGTCCTATAATTGGATCAAGGTGGCAAATGTAGATTCTTTCCCAACCATCTCATGTATAGACTATATCAAGAAGAATAAGTCACAATAGTACTAGGTCTTGAATAAGTCACAACTACTCCATTGATTAGAGAAAAATCTTTAGACCAGTTGTGACTTAATAATGACCCAGAATGGACAAAAAATGTCCAAAGATTTATCTTCAATATGTGAGTTGGTTGCACATCTGTCATTTTGTTTCACTGTCCTCTGAAGCATTTTGCAAGTTGGTTTGGTTACAACTTAAACATTTATCACTTATCCATTTGAGAATTCTCATTAATAATCTTGAAATTCTTAGCATTTTAGTTAAGCTTAATAAGAGAGAAAATATCCTGTGGGAATGCTGTATCTCACTATCAGTAAATAAAGTACTGCTAGAGCTTTTTTGAGTCCTCTACGAGTGGGATTCGAAACCCACCTGTTCCGTGGTTTGATTGCAATTGTGTTATTACGATTTCGTGAGTCATATTGTATATGACTGTCCATGCTTCTCAACTAGGTCCTTACTATCAATTAAAAATAAGATATTTTAGTGTTGTAGGTATAATTGATCTGTTTCTGGAATGCTTGAACTAGGACATTCCAAAGGACATAAAGCTGTGGCTCATGTAAGTTTAGTTCATATTTTTATCATTTCTTAACTGAATTCTAGAATGGAGCAGTCTTTAGATATCTTTGTTTCTATTTTTTAACACAATGGCTGTCTCCCACCAAGGTAGGGTGAAGCAAAAAAGAATAAACGTAAAGTTTGCTTCTTTTTACATTTAGTAATTTATACAGGAGAAAGGGCTACTAGCACCTTGCTTCTGGCATTTCAGTTGCTTCTTAACGACATGCATGACTTACGGAGGAAGGATTCTCCACTTCCCCATGGAGGAATATCTTTGTATCTTATCAGTTTTCAGCAGCTGGAAATTTAAATTATTCGAAGTACTATATTAAATGAAACTTGAGCTGCTTCCAACTGTTTAGGTAGATTTTTCCTGTGTTTTGTAACTGCTCTGCTCAGAATGAAGAAATGTTTGTGTACCATAGTCATTGTATTAATTCAGGTGAGCCAGTACAACTGAAGCATGAGAGTGTAACAGTGTTAGTACTTGTGTATTATAGGTATTTATATTCTCGATACCATCATTAAGATCAGAGCAAGTTTCATGAAGGTTCGTCATGTTGGAGCAATTAAGATAGATTTTTAAATACTCATGGTGAAATAAAAACTTTAGATAACTCAGATATCCTGATTTCACAGGAGATAACATCCTGACGGCCATAAGTGTAGCCCGTGACTGTGGTATGGTGGGGACTACTCACCAGGTTCTTGTAGCCAAGGTTACACCACCAATTTCTGACCTTCCTCCCTCACTGGTCTTTGAGCCAGCTGACACATCTGATATCATGATTCACTCCACTACTCAAGATCTGGTTAGTAACTTCTAGTCTGTAAGTAATATACAGTATTATCTTATTCCTACCATTTTCAGCCATACTTAAGGATGGTCCTAAACACCCTGGCTATTGCTTCTTGTTGAAGCTTCCTTTCACTTACATTATTTTTTTCACTTAAAGGTTTTCTCTTAAGTGTCCCTGCATTGCAATTGCTCTTTTAATATGAAAAAGCTCTTTAATTTTTGTGTGAGCATGTTAGATAGGAGTGAATGGAGACGAATGGTTTTTGGGACCTGACGAGCTGTTGAAGTGTGAGCAGGGTAATATTTTGTAAAGGGGTTTAGGGAAACCAGTTAGCCAGACTTAAGTCCTGGAAATGGAAAGTACAATGCCTGCACTTTAAAGGAGGGGTTTGGGATATTGACAGTTTGGAGGGACATCTCAACTGTTTTATCTGAGCACCTCTGCAAAGACAATGATTATGTATGAGTGAGGTGAAAGTGTTGAATAATGATAAAAGTATTTTCTTTTTGTGGATTTTCTTTCTTTTTAGATCACCCTGCCTCGGTGGGAGATGGCTGACTTATTGAAAAAATAAATAATAATATAATTCTCCATGGAGACGTGGAAAAGAATTCTTCCTCTGTAAGCCATGCGTGTCGTAAGAGGTGACTAAAATGCCGGGAGCAAGGGGCTAGTAACATTTCCTCCTGTATAAATTACTAAATGTTAAAAGAAAAACTTTAGTTTTTCTTCTTAGGTCACCCTGCCTCGGTGGGAGACTGCCTGTGCGTTGAAAAAAAATGATTTTATTAGTACTAGTAGTAATTATTATTATCATTTTCCAATAAGATATGTTAATTGTTTATGTACATTCAGACTAGTGTGTCCATCACTGTGGACAGCAACATCCCAAAGTACCATTTGGCTGTGAGTGGAAGAGCTTGGGCTTTGATATACCAGTACTTCCCTGATTTACTACCAAGAATTATCACACGTGGAACAGTATTTGCACGGATGTCACCTGACCAAAAAGCCCAGCTTGTGGAGGAATTGCAGACCATTAACTATATTGTGGCTATGTGTGGAGATGGTGCAAATGACTGTGGGGTAAGATTTCTCTTGTCAAGTGTGATTACATTTTTGTAATTACTCTACCTATTTGTAGTTACAGGAATAGAATTACTTCATGTTCACGATGTCCTATCTTCATTTTTAATTTTATATATTGGTTTAGTATTCCAGTGGTTGTAGCATTTAAATCATATTCTTGAATCTTACTCCAATAGTTTACAACTCTTTTATTTGTGACTTTTTTTTAGTGTTCTTTGTTATGAGTTTAACACTTAGATAAATTATTATAATCATAATTGAGTTTACAATTGTGGATTCCTGTACTGTTAATGCTGATAAAATTATTTTGTATTATTTTTGTATCCCTTTATTATTTACACAGTTATCATGTATCCTCTTTTATCAGCATATCTTTACAGTGGATCTTTACGAGGACGTTTACAGTGTTTTTAGCTTTCCTAACTCATTTTTCTTTTTTACCTCTTGAGTCATTTTTATAGCACATCAGGATGTTTTTGTACTTATCCACTGGTGTATATTTTGTATGCAAAACCACACCACTGCCTAGTACAGTGGACCCCCGGTTAACGATATTTTTTCACTCCAGAAGTATGTTCAGGTGCCAGTACTGACCGAATTTATTCCCATAAGGAATATTGTGAAGTAGATTAGTCCATTTCAGACCCCCAAACATACACGTACAAACGCACTTACATAAATACACTTACATAATTGGTCGCATTCGGAGGTGATCGTTATGCGGGGGTCCACTGTACTCTCAAAATACATTATATAGTTTTGAAGCTTCATCTTTGATGACACTAAAGATTTTTACAAAATACTGAGTCACTAGAATATCACACATACAACTGTATGACACTCATGTGCTGGACTGGCAAACTTCAAAACAGCTGTCAGATATATAGAAAATTAAATGACAAAAATAATGTATACAGCACACATCAGACCCAAATTGGAATACAGTGGACCCCCGCATAACGATCACCTCCGAATGCGACCAATTATGTAAGTGTATTTATGTAAGTGCGTTTGTACGTGTATGTTTGGGGGTCTGAAATGGACTAATCTACTTCACAATATTCCTTATGGGAATAAATTCGGTCAGTACTGGCACCTGAACATACTTACGGAGTGAAAAAATATCGTTAACCCAGGGTCCACTGTATATCTTAATTCACTGTATTTTTCTTGCTTAAACCAACTCATATCCCAGTTAAAGGTTAATTATTAACTGGATTAGTCACTTTAAGTTATAGTTTCAGTTGCATTTAATTAATTGTGGTAATTTAATTTCCCATAGGCACTGAAAACTGCTCATGTAGGCATATCATTGTCTGAAGCAGAAGCCAGCGTGGCTGCTCCCTTCACCTCCCGCACCAATAACATCAAGTGTGTGCCTCAGGTTGTGTGTGAAGGTCGATGTGCACTCACCACCAACTTCTCTGTCTTCAAGTACATGGCTCTTTACAGCATCATCCAGTTTGTCTCAGTTCTTATTCTTTATTCAGTGAGTTATATTACTTGCAATCCTGTCATTTCTATATCTTCAGCAGCAAAAGACTGGCAAGTAACCTATAGATGGTTAAATAGAAGTACAAAATGTTTTAAATGTAAAGGTTCATTTAAAAATCTATTGTACTAGACTGGTCAGTTATACTGGTCTAACACTTTGTGTAGCTATGTAAAATAATAATTTATATTAGGCTGTTATCATTTCTAGAGATCTCTCCACTGTGGACTGGGGTCACTACTAGCTCTTGTAAACACAGTATTTAGGATGGTGTGGGATTCAAGCAGCATGTTGAAGAGTATTGATTTTGCTGGTGATAGTGTCTGATATTAAGAATGATTTAAATTCCAAGCAAAGCATTGATTAATACATTTAAGTATATTGAAGGATTACAATTGGTCATAATAGTTTTTGAAAGCCCTCAGATGCATAGCATTATAGGTAGAACTTAAGCTTAAACAAGGTTTTGTTGTATTTTATCTTTTTTTTTTTTCACTAGTTGTCTCCCACCAGGGCAGTGACACCCAAAAATAGAAATGCATTTACCAGTAGATGTAGTGCCATAAATGCACAGACATCATAATTCAAATTCCCTCTGAATTACAGTTAATTAATGTATAAAAAGGAAGCACGTCTGTCTCGTGCTCAGCAGTCGGAGGATCAAGCCTCCACCACATCTTGCGCTGAATGATCCACATAGGTTTAGCACTTAAAATGAATTACTTAGGAACTCTGACCTGCATCATCCCACCCCTCCTTTATAAAGAGTGCAGGCACTATACTTTCTACCTCTGGCTAATACTTTGCCTTAATTAATTCCTTCATAAGTTTTGCTTTTACTGAAATAATCTTTTTACCACAATGGCCACTTTCCAATAAGGAAGGCTGACCCAGGAAGGAAATTCATTCACCATTGCTCATTCCAGAGCTGTTTTACGAAGAGAATATAGATGTAGCAATTAAAATAACTCATGTGAACTACAGCATTCCCAGGCATCCTTCAGAGTGCAGGCATTGTACTTCCCACCCCCAGAAATCAGTAATAATAGAGTAAAACAATATTGTGTATTATTTGAAGCAGAATTTAAATTAAAACTAATATAAGAATGACACACAATCTTGTAGTAATAGGGATTATAAATAATAGTTAAAAAAAAAAAACATGGTCTTTACTTTAAAAACGACTAGGTTTAGCCTAGATTTGAGTTTACAAATGATTTATCAAAGGTAAAAGTTTTCAACAAATTATGACAAGCTAATGTTTACCATATATGAGTAAGATAATTTCTGCTTTAATTGAATTTGTATACAGATATAGTAATAACATGTATGTTGAATGGTACACATATTCTGTCTTCAGGCCTTCTTTGGCATTGTCTGATTCAGTTGTGACTTGACAGTGGTCTAGCACAGACCGAAACATCATCCTAACTTTCCTGAGTGGTGGTTATTTGTGTGTAGTGGTTAGGTAATATCAGTTGTATATTCATCAGTGATGCTCATATATTGTGTAGTGTTTGTGTGTTTTGTTAAAGCTCTCAAGCTTTTGGAGGATTCTAAAGAAAAGTTGCTAAGGTTAGTGGATGAGTTTGGGAGGGTGTGTAAAAGTAGAAAGTTAAAAGTGAACATAGATAAGAGTAAGGTGATGAGGGCATCAAACGTTTTAGATAAAGAAAAATTGGATATCACATTGGAGGGAGGGAGTGTGGAAGAAATGAATGTTTTCAGATATTTGGGAGTTGACTTATCAGCAGATGGGTTTATGAAAGATGAGGTTAACCATAGAACTGATGAAGGAAAAAAGGTGAGTGGTGCATTGAGGTATGATGTATCTGTGGAGATAAAGAACATATCCATGGAGGCAAAGAAGGGAATGTACAAGAGTATAGTGGTACCAACACACTTATGTGGGTGTGAAGCATGGGTTGTAAATGCTGCAGCAAGGAGGCGGCTGGAGGCAGTGGAGATGTCCTGTCTAAGGGCAATATGCGGTGTAAATATTATGCAGAGAATTCGTAGTGTGGAAATGAGTGTGGGGTTAGTAAAAGTATTAGAGGGCTGAAGAGGGGCTGTTGAGGTGGTTTGGTCATTTAGAGGGAATGGAACAAAGTAGAATGACTTTAAGAGCATATAAATCTGTAGAAGGAAGGAAGGTGGGGAAGGGGTCATCCCCAGGAAGGTTGGAGGGAGGAGGTAAAGGAGGTTTTTGTGGGTGAGGGGCTTGGACTTCCAGCAAGCGTGCGTGAGCATGTTAGACAGGGGTGAATGGAGATGAATGGTTTTTGGGACCTGATAGGCTGTTAGAGTATGAGCATGGTAATATTTTGTGAAGGGATTCAGGGAAACTGGTGAGCCAGACTTGAGTCCTGGAAATGGGAAGTACAATGCCTGCACTTCAAAGGAGGAGTTTGGGATATTGGCAGTTTGGAGGGACGTCCAAGCTTTCGTATCTGAGCGCCTCTGCAATGACATTGATTATGTATGAGTGATGGTGAGTGTGTTGAATGATGATGATTTTTTTTTTTTTGGGGGGGGGGGGTCACCTTGCCTCAGTGGGAAATGGCCAGTGTTTAAAAAAAAAAAATTAAAGTTGAGGACTGTCTTTCTTTAGCCATGGCCACCAAAGTGTTCCATAGATATTTTTATCTTGGGAAGAAGTGCGCAAAACATTTTGGATATCACCATTATTTTTTATTGGGCTTTTAAATTTTGAGCAGATTAATACACAAGCCTGTTCTAGGAACTTCAGGTTGTGCTCGAGTGAAGTTGAAAGCCTTAATATAATATCACTTGTATTGACATTTATTTCAGGCCTATACGAATCTTTCTGACCCTCAGTTCCTATACATTGACCTCTTCATTGTGACAGTTGTTGCCATCTTCATGGGCTACACGGGACCAAGCCTGTAAGTAGTAATAACTTTTTCACATTCTAGAATCTAGATAATGAACATTGTTATTTTTATTTTGCATAGCACTTGCTAGCTGCACTCATGCATGTTATTGTAGAGTGTGATACATTTATTGCAAAGACAAAATGTAAATAATCATTTATAAATCAGTGGCCAGAAGTTAAATCCTATTATCCCTAAACATTTTTTTAGTATTGGATTCTTCGTTTTAGGTAGAACATTCGGCTTCAGCCACTTACATAATGGATGTATAGGCATAACACTGACAGGTATAAAGAAAATATGCAGAACAAGCCTTCACTGGGACTACATTTTGCTCAGGGTAGAGCTCCAGCTAGTCCTACTAAAAGTTTCTATATACATGTATTGTCTTTGTATTGGTGCTCTCACATAATGGTTAGGTAATGTAAGAGAAACACAAGATTGTCAGGATGAAGAGGCTGTGTCTTTTCCTCGGCCTCACTCCCATTGGCTGTTTCTCAAGACTGTTTTCATGTTGCTTCATAACAATCAGCTGTATAACCACATTTGCTTATTTACGTGAGGCGTTCTACCCGTGTAGGGCATTCATCGCAGGGAGTAGTGGAGGGTTGTTAGTCATTAACACCATTCAGCATTCCCTATCAGAGCTATCTACACCATGTTTTTTTTTTTTTTTTCTAAGAAATAGGGATTAAATATTTAATTAAAAAATAAAATTTTAATGGTTGTAATTATTACCAAACAATACCACATTAACCATATGGTGGGTAATGTTAAGCTAGCATTGTCTTTGACTTAGATACTTATTTAATGTGCTGTGAGCATATTAATAGGAAGTTTGCTATGAAAATCTAGAGTTAGCTAAGAGTATCTTGAGCCGAACCATATAGCCTTAATTTTGAGCAATTTTCACCAAAACATCAATGGCAACTTTCCATTTGTGAACATAGCCATTGAGTTTTATTCTCAAGGGGTGCAAGTCTATAAACTATATTTGAAAATTCAAAACAGATGTATTTTTTTAAATACAGTGGACCCCCGCCTTACGATATTATTTCATTCCAGAAGTCTGTTCAGGTGCCGTTACCGACCAAATTTGTTCCCATAAGGAATATTGTGAATTAGATTAGCCCGTTTCAGACCACCAAAAATACACACACAAAAGCACTTACAAAAATACACTTACATAATTGGCCGAGTTGGGAGCTGATCGTAAGGCGGGGGTCCACTGTATTTGCTGTGGAGATTTAAGTTTGATTTCATACATATTAATTTCTGAAAATATACTAGCAGAGTTATTGTGGACATCCTTGTTCCAAGTCCTATCTGAAGATAAGGATATCCTTGTTCCCACTTCCATCACAGGATAGTGTCCTTGTTTCCAAACCCACCTGAAGATAACTTTACCAAGAACATTCATGCCTTGAGCTGGAATGACATGGTATGTTCTATTTCCAGTGAGCTCGTGGCAGAAAAGCCACTTGGTAACCTGCTTGGAGCTGTCAACATGTTTTCCGTCCTGTCACAGATCTTCCTTGTCATCCTTTTCCAAGTCATCGCTTATTTTTATCTTTTGCAACAACCCTGGTATGTTTGAAGCTTGAATGTATACAAGGTAATGCAGTGTAAGCCTAATCATTTGATATTAATAATTCACAATCCTCATTAATTGTAATAAATATAGTATAGAGGAGCTCACTCTCTCATCTTTTAGATGTATGCTATACAGTTTGAATATAAAGGCTTTGTATACTCCTAAATGCTTATAATTTACCAGTTGGAATTAAGTACTCAGAAGTATGGATACAAGAGCTTACGCTGCAAGTACTGCAATAAAGAGCAACAGCTCATGTAATAATAGTCCCTCAAAGAAATCTTTATAGAAAAGTCAAGTCAGCATAGCTGTTATTATTTACAGTTTTACTTGGATTATATCACATTTTGATGTGATGCTGAACTTTTTTTTTTTTTTTTATTACTCTTAAACATAATAATTGGTTTTCACAGTATTTCCATTTTTTTTTTCACTTGCTTAAAGAGTGACTGCTGTATTCTCTCAGTACTATATACTCTAGCAAGCAGTGTTTATAATGTAACACAAAAATGTTATAACATTAGAAATGTACACTGATGCAGTGATATTTAACTTTTTTTTTTTTTTTTTTTACACTTTTTGAGATAGCTGACTCAACCATAATTATTCCCTCTCCTTTGTAACAAAATTGTAGTCTTGAAATTATAACAATCCTATTTCTTCAGGAGAGTTCCTTGATGCAAGTGAGGAATTCAATCTGCCCATCCCTTGGTTCAAATGTGAATGAATCCCATTTCCCCAGGCATTATATGACTCCTACTAGTTTAGCATTATCCCACGAATGTGATAATAGCACCCCCTACAGTACCTGTGCTCAAAAGTAAGGGTGGTGATGCATTTCAGAGGGTCATTTGAGGTATGTCCATTCACTTCTGGCTGGATGTTTGTTGAATGAGCGATTGTTTTCCTTTGGCGAGAAACAGCTCATGTATCTTTTAAATTAACACTATGGTGTTTCCAGATAGTTATCCCCTTGAAAGGCAAAATTACCCTCTGGGGGTAATTATCCCCAGGCTAAATAACCACTCGACTAAGGAATAAATAAAACGGATATAGTTTCATACTTTTAGAGTTATGTGTAATTAACAAATATGCAAAAAGTCTTAACATGGCTTGTCATTAAATGAGTTCAAAATATTTTAAATGTACAGTGGACCCCCGGTTAATGATATTTTTTCATTCCAGAAGTATGTTCAGGTGCCAGTACTGACCGAATTTGTTTCCATAAGGAATATTGTGAAGTAGATTAGTCCATTTCAGACCCCCAAACATACATGTACAAACGCACTTACATAAATACACTTACATAATTGGTCGCATTGGGAGGTGATCGTTAAGCGGGGGTCCACTGTATTTAATTTTCTATTATGTGTGTCAGTTAATTTTACTTTCATAGCTTCATTGGTGGTGATTGCTTCATTCACTGTATGCTTTTAGAGCAAATTAAGAATTAATCTGATTCATGACTTTTAATTTAAAAGGTTTGAACCTAATAAGAAACCTGATGACAAAGAGCCAGACAATGTAGTAAGCTGGGAAACTGCTACCATTTTCTATGCGTCGAGCTTCCAGTATCTCGCCCTGTGCGTAGCATACTCCCCTGGACAGCCGTTCAGGAAACCTCTCATAACCAATGGTAAGTGTTGATGAAAAAGAATTACTGAAAAATTTCTTATAAGCAACAAAATTATCTTGTTATAGTTTATGTTCACACCTCTATAAATACTAAGATTAGCAGCATAAACTAAACTTGCAAACATTAAATGGTATTCAGAAACCATGACACTCACATTCAAAATGCTTTCTCTTGTTTGTGCATCCCATTCATAAGTATGCAGTGCTTACATAAAACTCATTCCTAGTAAAATGAAGCAAAACTTGAGAGTATAAAAGAGTGCACGAAGACTGGCACTTGAGGTCAGGGATATGAGCTAGGGAGAAATAATGCAATTATGTTATTGATACTCTTGTTATTACAGTGTGGCTAACAGTGTCGCTGATAATACTCACCGTGACAACCCTAGTGATGCTCCTGTGCCCATGGCCATGGCTGATGAATCTCATGAACATGAAGTATGCCTCAGACAGTTACTTGATGTTCCGCATTGCTCTTCTTCTCTTTGTAGCAACACACTTCGTCATTTCAGTCAGCACAGAGGTAATACCTGACAAGGTTTTCACATTGTACAATATGTTATTTTCCTTTGTAATACATAATAAAATATATATGTGACTGAGTTGAGAAGTGTCTGCAGTGAAACTGTCAAGTGAAGTACAGTACAGAGATCAGGGGCATGTTAAATAGACTTTCTGCTGGAGTGAGCAAGGTAACATTTATGAAGGGATTCTGGAAAAACCAGTTAGCTGGATTTGAGTTCTTGTAATGGGAAGTACAGTGCCTGCTCTCTGAAGGATGTTGAAATATGGAGGGTTATCTGAACTATAATGTTGGTGTTCTGGCAAGACTGAATGACAGTGAAAGTGTTTTGATAGGTCACCTACCTTGGTGGGAGATTGTCTTTTATTAAAATTTGGCAAACTATATGAATGAATCAAACTTTAAATATGAGAAGACAAAACAAAATAGTATGCAGTGTGTGTGTCACAAACATTACCCTTACCCTGTGTTTTCTGTATATGTACAGTACTTTAAACATTTATTATTTTACTGTTTAAAAAAAGTGGATATCCCCTTTAACACCAAGCATTACTACTAGTATTGACAGGTTATAATCAGCATGGTTTACTTGGTTATAGGAAGTTTTGGGGTGGGTAGACTATGGTATTATACTTGATGGCAGTTTGTGTATGAAGTTGACACAGAGAGTAATGTCCAACTATGTGTATTTTATTGACCTGGTATGACCCTTGTGTGTTTAGTGCTTAGTTTTTATTGTAATATTATAATCAAAGAAAGCGCTAAACTGAAAGGTCATGTAGGACTGTAGTAATAATATTGACCTGGTAAGGGTGGAAGTGTGGGGAAACATGGGTAATTGCTGTTTTTATGGCATAACCCTCCATCAGTAAGAAATTGCTATTAACAAGGCAGGGATGAAAACACTACCTGTAAGGAGTCTGCTCATTCACAACTGTATGAGAAAGGTGTACAGTATCTCCCTCAGCTGACTGAATATTTGCGATCCACTTGGGTGTATACGGCAACCTAGTTAGGACATGGTTATACTGAAAATTAGCTAAATATCTGAGTTACTTAAAATTCACTAATCAGGTTATATAGCTCAAAGCAGAAAGGCTCTGAGCTCAAATTCTGGGAGTGGTGAAATGTGTGGGCAAGTCTTGCCCAATTTCCATGTTATCTAACATAGGCACTTAGTTATTAGCTGGTTTCCCTCAAGGAAGGTTTCTTGATGCAGGTGAGGGGTTCTTGATCAAAGGAATTGGATCTGTGCTCCAGTTTCCTGAATTAAACCTGAATACCTTCCACATCCCCCCACAGGCACTATAATCCTATGGGTTTAGCACTTCCCCCTTGATTGCAATAATATTAGCTGGTTGTTTTGGAGTGCATCCTAGAGAAAGTATCCTATACTCTAAACTTGCTGCACTTTTATTTCTAGAACCAGGCTTTGAAATGTACTGAAATATGATACTAGCTCTGTTAAAACAAGTAAAATTTAAATTATCTCTAGCTAGAATTAATTTAGGACTGATTAAATATTAAACATTATTTTTCCCTACATCACCAACTGAAACTATTTTTTTTCCTCCAACAGTACTTCATAGCCAGCAGCAGAGCATTGAAGAAATGCTTCCAGTGGGTAACATGCAAACGCATGCCCAAGAACAAATACAAAATTGTGCTAAGAGAAATGGACGAGGACCCAAACTGGCCACCAGTTGGAACACCAGTCTACAGTTATCAAAGAACATGATACTTGGGAAGGAAGAATTTTTCACTTAGCCCACAATTTAGAGGAAATTTTAGCTGATGCTGTTTCCTCTCTGACCATTATCAGCTGACATGGTGATATTTCTGTCCACTCCTGGACCATTGTCTTCTAAAATTTTTACCAGATGTTGGTTAATAGTGAATTGTTCCAGTCATGATATTGTAACATACTGAAGGAATTCTTATGATAAAGTGCACTTAAATGAGGCAAAGTTTATTGAAGATTTACTTTTGTGATAACTGGTTGTAGTTATCTATCATAAATTTTTATTTAAAATTTTTTAGTGTATTTTTTTAACATTTTAAACTGGCTAAGAAAGTAAACTTTTTAAATTTTGTATTCCAGGAAAATATGAATGTGCTTCAATAAATTTCTTAAGATTTATTAATGTATAATAAAGTGAGTGTATCAATAATCACTTTTATGCATGATATACTGTATAATTTTAGATCTGTGATATTTAATGTTTTTAATTACTACAGTATACCAGTATTAATATATACAAATATATTTTTACAGTTTAAAATTTATGGTTATAAATAAATATATGAATGCTATAGCATGTTTCACTTGCATCATTGACATTCAGGCTCGAGTCAAGGAATTCGAGGACAGGTTCAATTCCTTAGATCGAGATTATTATTTATTATAATGAAGGGGGAGTGCTTAACCCGTAGGATTATGCAGCGCCTGTGGAAGGTATTCAGGCCTATTTCAGGGAACTGGAGCACAGATCCAATTTCCTAGATCAAGAGCACCTCACCAACATCGAGCCTTCCTTGAGGGGTTTTATATCAAGAGCCCTGAATATTGTGGCACAGATCTGTATGACCCTTGTGGGTTTAGCACTTAGTTATGATTGTGGCACAAATTTAAATGTGTACTAGTGCTATTTTTGGGTGCTGTATAACCTACAGGTCATACAGTGCCTGGTGAATATGCAGAGGGTACCACCAATCCCATGGCTCGAGAACCTTTTAACAGCATCAAATTCCTCTCTCCCCTTGCACACCCATACCCACAGTGCTCCATGATCCATGTGGATTTAATGCATTTTTTTTTACAATGATAATTTCAAGTTAGAGGGACTACCATCCTGTGATAGTAGGTTGGTAGACAGTAACAACCCAGGAAAGTACTACCATCCTGCCAAGCAAGTGTGAAACTGACACCTGTAATTATTTTACATAATGGTAGGATTGTCTCAAACACGGAGGATAACAAGTACATCTTGCTACTTCTACTTATGCTTAGGTCACACCACACATGCATGTACATGCATATGTATATATATACACACACACACACACCTGGAGTTTTACCTGGAGGGTATCAGGGGTCAATGCCCCTGTGGCTTGGTCTGAGACCAGGCCTCATGGTGGATCAGGGTCTGATCAACTAGGCTGTTACTGCTGGCCTGCACGCAAACTGATGTACGAACCATAGCCTGGGTTTTCTTCTATTTTTCTTAATAGTTCTTGTTTTTTTATTTCCTCTTATCTCCATGGGGAAGTGTAAAGAATTCGTCCTCCAAAAGCTATGAGTGTTGTAAGAGGCCACTAAAATGCCAGACCATGGGGCTAGTAACCCCTTCTTTATAAATTACTAAATTTAATTAGAAAAACTTATTGTTTTTCTTTTTCGGTCATCCTGCCTCGATGGGATATGGCCAGTGTATTGAAAAGAAAAAATTTCCAGTAAGAGCAGATCTTGGGCCAAGGATGTGTGATGGTGCCATATTTAAGGAGTTTATAGATGGGACTATAAGAAGTCGATACTAAACAGTAAGTCACAATACCATGGTTGGAACAATTCACCAAAAACTGTATTAGGAGAGGAACCTTATGATGACGATTTGGTCAAGAGAAGAGACTGAAAGATACAGAAGAGTAAATGGGACAGGAATTTTAGTAGACAAGGGAAAGAAAGATGCAAGAATGTTGAGGAATCAGAAAAAAGTGACATACCTGTGATCAGTTTTAAGGGATCTACTGCTGCAGGCTACCTTGTTTATTATCTGTTTGTTGTACCATGCTGTTGCAGTTGGTGCACTATGCTACTGGTTCACACATCCACACACTGGTTGATCTGCCACACTGAGGAGGTAGTGGTCCAGTTTCCTCTTGAAAACATCTAGCCTTTGCTCTGGCAGTGAAAACAAAGAGTAATGTACAGTACACAATTTAATGGGTGTGAGGTAAGGTTTCTTAATATTACAATGAGGAATAGCTTGGAGAGAGTGGCAATGTCTTGTCTGAGATCAAGGTTTCATTTGTAATGAATATGTAATTAATATGAATGAAATTATATATTTGTGTGGAAAGTAGTATGTTTCAAAGGACAGAAGAGGGATTGCTAAAAAGATATAGTCATATAAAAAGAATGGGCAAGTTTTGACATGTACACAAATATCCCACATGTATTATTATAATAAAAAAAAGTGCTAAACCTGCAAGGGTCATACTGCAACTCTTACAGAAGTCAAAGAAACTTGTGACGATGTTTCGGACAAACTTCGACCATTAATTAGCAAGTTTTAACGTACTATATTATAGGCAGATATTTTTAACTCCTAAGTACCTGTTGGGACCTCTTGTAAATTTTTATGGTATCTTTTCAAATTAACAGTTTAGCGTCTTTTTAATTGGTACAGGGTATTTTACTCTATTGTGAGATTAATTTATGTGCTTATTCATACAATTTCTTCCATTGTGATCGTGTGGTATGCATGTGTGTGGACATTTTTAGTGAAAGTGCAATGAAAGAACCTTTCAGTTTGAACATTAAAATGGTATACATCACCTATGCTGCCCAAGACAAGAGCCCCAACCTAGTAACCTCATACCCCCTTCAAACCAGGGCCAGGCACAGGATCCGCCATTATTATTGGATCACTCCAGGGCAGTGCTAAACCCATATGAGCCATACAGCACTTTGGGGAGGAGGAATGAGACACAATCAGGTTCAACAGAAGGAAGGGGAGCACAGACTTAATTCCTTAAACCAAGAGCCCCTCCCCTTTCACCAGCATCAAGGAACCTCCCTTGGGGACTAGGGGGGCAGGCTCCACCATGATCTTAATGCCAACAAATACCCCTGAGGCTCCATCATTCAGGGGCTAGTTTCTGCTCATTGTGGTATAAAACCTGACTGTCAACACCAAGATACCTGATGCCCAACTGAAACACCCATATGGTATATATACCTTAGTCAACACCTATACACAGTGCAGCTCGTGCCTCAACCTCAGACAACCCTCTCAGCTATCATATAAATCATGGGTCTTAACATTTTTCCCATTACAGACCCCCAATGGATTGTCCAATATATTCCCATACCCACCTTCACCAGACTGTCAACATCACCACAACCAGTCCTATTAAGTACCATTTTTGATTATAATAATAATAAAATTAAGTACCATAATTACTTCAAAAGATAAATAACAAAAAGGCACAATACCGTGACTGGAACGATACACAAATAACCCGCACATAAAAGAGAGAAGCTTACGACGACGTTTCGGTCCGACTTGGACCATTGACAAAGTCACACTAACCAGAGGTGGAGCAGGACGGCTATATATAGGCAGGAAGAGGTGGTGGTGGTAGTAGTAGTAGTACAAGAATTGTATATAATACCGACAAGATGACATCTTTGCTCTGTGGCCTCATGACTCCAGTCTCTTCCTTTTCTTGAAGCTCTTAATAATCTTGCCCCTTCCATTAAGTTTAAAGCTGAATGGGAATCTAATTCTTTGCTTCCTTTCCTTGATGTCCATGTCCACCGCTCAGATACAGGTTTTTCCTTTTCCGTTTACCGTAAACCTATGCACAGTGGCATGTACATTCACTACTTTTCCTATCATGCTTCCCCTGTCAAGAAAAGTGTTCTTATCTCCCTCTTTCTCCATGCCCTCCGCATCTGTGATCCTCAGTTCCTTCCAGCAGAAATTTCCACTCTTCATAATTCGTTCTCCCGTCTTGGCTACCCTTCCCATTTCAAAGACTCTGCCCTCTCACGTGCTAAATGCAATTTCTTCTCTCCCAAACTCTCTACTCATGGGAACTCTTCTATCCTCTGCCTTCCCTACATTTCCGGTCTTTCTAATCTCAACAATTCTCTCCGTCCCTTAGACATCAAGCTTACCTTCCGCCAGACTAACACTCTTCGCACTAATCTCGTTCATACCTCTCCTCCCTCTACAGATGTTCCTGGTGTCTACTCTATTTCTTGCTCCTCCTGTCCTCTTCAATACTTCGGAGAAACTGGTCGATCTCTTTCTGACAGACTTAGGGAGCACAAAAATAGTGTTAGGCTTGCCGACACTAACAATGCTCTTTTCTGTCACGTCAGAGATCATAGCCATCCTATTGACTGGTCTGCTAAAACTGTCTTCCCTACTTCCAACTCGAACAGTCGCCGTCTAGTTGAATCCTCTCTAATACACAACTTTCCTTGTATGAACCTTAGCCCTGGCTTCGTCTCTGTAGATGCCTTCCTCTCCCACTACATTGTAAAATGCTCCAAACTTCAGAACACCCGTGACTTAACCTGAATCCTCATTTTTTTTTTTTTTTTTTTTTTTTTTTCTTCTTCCTCTTCCCCTTTCCTCTTTCCTTTTCTCCTCTGGGTTGTCTTTCTCTCTCCTGTCTCGTGTTTCTGTTCCTTCTTCATTTATTTCTCCACTTCCCCTTTCACGCACCTCTGTGCGCTTGCTCTCCCTCGGTGGGCATCTAGCTCTCTTGCAGTGCTCCCCTTCCTTTGTATTTGACTGGCTCGTCATCCTTATTTCCCACTTCTACCACTACCACTACTACTACCTCTTCTTCTTCTACTACAACTACTGATGAAATTAAGACATGTGCGGCGTCTAGTTGTCTTTGTTGTGGACATTTCGCCATCCAGTGGCTGGCTGGATGGCGAAACGTCTACGATGGGGATGCCCGCGTGTTGTGCATGTGTCTTAATTTCATCTTGTCGGTATTATATACAATTCTTGTAGTACTACTACTACCACCACCTCTTCCTGCCTATATATAGCCGTCCTGCTCCACCTCTGGTTAGTGTGACATTGTCAATGGTCCAAGTCGGACCGAAACGTCGTCGTAAGCTTTTCTCTTTTATGTGTGGGCTATTTGTGTATACTTCAAAAGATGTCACTATCTTTGTTTTATTTTACATATGGATAGCTAGGAACAGAATAAGTGAAAGAAAATCATCAGGATTTTATCATATTTATTTGTAGAAAAAAGCAAATCACAAACACACAAGATTGTTAAAGCTAGTGAGATTTTTTTTACGTTTTTACAATAATTTCTACAAGTACGTACATGATACAACTTATACAGACCTAGCTAACATCAGTGGCATACTATATATCAAGCCCCTGGTAATGCAATGCATTTCGGGCAAAGTAGGTAAATCTTGTCGTCAGGATGCGAACCACACCAGTCAGCTACCTACTTACTGCTAGGTGAACAGGGACAACAGGCGTCTTCAGGAAACACTTCCAATATTTTCATCCATACCGGGGATCGAACCATGGACACTCAATGCGTGAAATAAGTGCACAACCAAGGTATAGTTACTGTTCATATCACACGCATGTCATCTGACAAGTCTATTTCTCCACTTCAATTTCAGGTTCAGTAATGCAGACTCCTGTTTCACAGATATATATAATCATGAAGGGAACCAAAACTTTCATTACCCTCATCACTAAGTAAGCCACAATCTGCTCATACCAAAATTGCTCGATATCCAGCCTAGTTAGCAGCCTCAACCCATATTAATAACAGTAATATTTTATTCTTATATAGCAACTTTTTTTAAATTGTTCAGAGATAGAGTCCCATACCCCCATTATTTGGTTCCAATACCCCTAAGGGGTAGGGATACCCCAGGTTTCTACACAAAAAAATGCTCTGCATAACTATGGGCTTTCTGGATGCACAACCAAATGTCATCTAACTGTACAAACACTGCATCATGCTGAAATAAATATGTCTTGGTCTTGTAGAAAACCTTAAATTAATATGCTACATGGTAGCCTACACGAGTTATTATCGAGATAACAGTTACGAGACTGATGTTCAAAGTAATTAAATTACGAGATAGTGAATTGTCATCAAAGACAGGCTTCTCCATCAGTTTTAAGGCATTCTTAAATATTTTACAAATTCTTATTGAAATCTAACAACTATATACGAATAAATGCCTTAAGAAAATCTTGAAGTTTAAGAATATTACTTGTAACATTACAAGTTTAGGACTATGTTAACTGTAACATCACTGACACTAGACTCAACATTGTGGGGAAAAAGAAACCTACTTCACAGACAGCAGTGATGGACAGATTCTGCTTTTATCAACCCCTTCCAGTGTTTGGTCTTCCTGTAAAAATGTGACGTGATTTTCGTGATAGCTGGAGACTTCACATACTTACTAAACAAGTCCAAATGGTCAGGAAGAGTTGACTATCATGGTCCTAGTGATACGGTGCCTAACATGAGGTCACCATATCTTAGTGGCAGCAATGGTGCCTAGCATGAGGGAAATCACCATATGATGATGATAGTAACGGTGCCAAGCAGGAGGGAGCTCACCATTACGTATTCCACTTTGGCAAAATAATCCTTTAAAATCACCAAGTTGACACTTAGTAATTACATTAATACAAAAAGCAAAGAAATAAGTTAACACTACAGCTTAGCTTAATGAGAATCTCCAAGGGAGTTTTGGACTTAGAAACAAGAGACACTGAATCAATCAACAACTCCATGTGTCTACCAAAAACCCACAAAAGCCATCGCCCACATATCGAATCTACGATCTAAACTTTTCAGTTTACCAGGACTTCACAGTTCACTTCGGCAGCAAGGTGACACACTTGCTTGCTCTGATCGAAGTAGGTCCCACAAGGACAGGAGAATAAGTGTGGTGAACTGTTAAAGCACACGTAGAATGTGGAACAGTCATATGGATTGGGTAAGTACACAAGAACTGTTCCATCCGTATGAGGACACACTGGGAGAGGTGGTGGTGAGGTGATGACCCTGGTACTAAAAGATCCAGGTTCCTCAGAGAAACTGGAGCTGGATGTCTCAGTGTTGGTGGTGGGAACCTCAGTAGTAGTAGTGTTGGTGGGAACCTCAGTAGTAGTAGTGTTGGTGGGAACCTCAGTAGTAGTAGTGTTGGTGGGAACCTCAGTAGTAGTAGTGTTGGTGGGAACCTCAGTAGTAGTAGTAGTGTTGGTGGGAACCTCAGTAGTAGTAGTGTTGGTGGAACCTCAGTAGTAGTAGTGTTGGTGGGAACCTCAGTAGTAGTAGTGTTGGTGGGAACCTCAGTAGTAGTAGTAGTGTTGGTGGGAACCTCAGTAGTAGTAGTGTTGGTGGGAACCTCAGTAGTAGTAGTGTTGGTGGGAACCTCAGTAGTAGTAGTGTTGGTGGGAACCTCAGTAGTAGTAGTGTTGGTGGGAACCTCAGTAGTAGTAGTGTTGGTGGGAACCTCAGTAGTAGTAGTGTTGGTGGGAACCTCAGTAGTATAGTGTTGGTGGGAACCTCAGTAGTAGTAGTGTTGGTGGGAACCTCAGTAGTATAAGTAGTAGTGTTGGTGGGAACCTCAGTAGTAGTAGAGTTGGTGGGAACCTCAGTAGTAGTAGAGTTGGTGGGAACCTCAGTAGTAGTAGAGTTGGTGGGAACCTCAGTAGTAGTAGAGTTGGTGGGAACCTCAGTAGTAGTAGTAGTACTAGTAGTGTTGGTGGGAACCTCAGTAGAAGTAGTAGTAGTGTTGGTGGGAACCTTAGTAGTAGTAGTAGTAGTGTTGGTGGGAACCTCATAGTAGTAGTAGTAGTAGTGTTGGTGGGAACCTCAGTAGTAGTAGTAGTGTTGGTGGGAACCTCAGTAGTAGTATAGTAGTAGTGTTGGTGGGAACCTCAGTAGTTAGTAGTAGTAGTGTTGGTGGGAACCTCAGTAGTAGTAGTAGTGTTGGTGGGAACCTCAGTAGTAGTAGTAGTAGAGTAGTATAGTAGTGTTGTGGAACCTCAGTAGTAGTAGTAGTAGTAGTTGGTGGGAACCTCTATAGTAGTAGTAGTAGTTGGTGGAACCTCAGTAGTAGTAGTAGTAGTTGGTGGGAACCTCATAGTAGTAGTAGTGTTGGTGGGAACCTCATAGTAGTATAGTATTGTTGGTGGGAACCTCAGTATAGTAGTAGTGTTGGTGGGAACCTCGTAGTAGTAGTAGTGTTGGTGGGAACCTCAGTAGTAGTAGTAGTAGTAGTGTTGGTGGGAACCTCAGTAGTAGTAGTAGTAGTGTTGGTGGGAACCTCAGTAGTAGTAGTAGTAGTGTTGGTGGGAACCTCAGTAGTAGTAGTGTTGGTGGGAACCTCAGTAGTAGTAGTAGTAGTGTTGGTGGGAACCTCAGTAGTAGTAGTAGTAGTATTGGTGGGAACCTCAGTGGTAGTAGAGTTGGTGGGAACCTCAATAGTAGTAGAGTTGGTGGGAACCTCAATAGTAGTAGATGTGGTGGGAACCTCAGTAGTAGTAGATTGTGGGAACCTCAGTAGTAGTAGAGTTGGTGGAACTCAGGTATGTAGAGTTGGTGGGAAGCTCAGTAGTAGTAGAGTTGGTGGGAACCTCAGTAGTAGTAGAGTTGGTGGGAACCTCAGTAGTAGTAGAGTTGGTGGGAACCTCAGTAGTAGTAGAGTTGGTGGGAACCTCAGTAGTAGTAGAGTTGGTGGGACCTCAGTAGTAGTAGAGTTGGTGGGACCTCGTAGTAGTAGAGTGGTGGGAACCTCAGTAGTTGTAGGTTGGTGGGAACCTCAGTAGTAGTAGAGTTGGTGGGAACCTCAGTTGAGTAGAGTTGGTGGAACCTCAGTAGTAGTAGAGTTGGTGGGAACATCGTAGTAGTAGAGTTGGTGGGAACCTCAGTAGTAGTGTTTGGTGGAACCTCAGTAGTAGTAGTAGTGTTGGTGGGAATCTCAGTAGTAGTAGTAGTAGTGTTGGTGGATCTCATAGTAGTAGTAGTGTTGGTGGGAATCTCAGTAGTAGTATAATAGTAGGTGTGGGAATCCGTAGTAGTAGTATAGTATAGCATTGGTGATGGAACCTCAGTATGGTGTGGTGGTGGGAACCCAGTAGTGGTGGGGTGGGAACCTCGTAGTAGTGTTAGTGTGGGAACCTCATAGTGTGTTGTGGTGGTGGGAACCACAGTAGTGTTGTGTGTGGTGGTGGGAACCTCAGGTATGTGCTGCTGGTGGTGGGAATCCCAGTAGTGGTGGTAACCTCGGCAGTAGTGTTGGTGAAGGTAACCTCGTAGGGTGGTTAGTTCCTCAGTAGGTGGGTAGGTGATGGTGGTTGGTTCCTCATAGCACTAGTGGTGTGTGGTTGGTTCCTCAGTAGCACTGTGTGGTGGTTGGTTCCACGTACCTAGTGGTGGTGGTTGTTCCTCAGGTGGTGGTGGTTGATTCCTCAGTAGTAGGGAGGTGGTGGTTGGTTCTTCAGTAGTATGTGGTGGTGGTGGTTGGTCCACAGTAGTAGTGGTGTGGTGTGGGTGGTTGGTTCTCAGTAGTAGTGGTGTGGTTCTCAGTGTGTGGTGGTTGGTTCCTCAGTAGTGTGGTGGTTGGTTCCTCAAGTAGTGTGTGGTTGTTCCTCAGTGTAGTGGTGGTGGTGGTGGTGGATGGTTTCCTCGTATTAGTGGTGGTTGGTTCCTCAGTAGAGTGTGGTGGTGGTTGGTTCCTCAGTAGTAGTGGTGGTGGTTGGTTCCTCAGTATAGTTGTTGTTCCGTAGAGTGGTGGTGGTGGTTGGTTCCTCAGTAGTAGTGGTGGTGGTGGTGGTTCCTCAGTAGTAGTGGTGGTGGATGTCCTCAGTATAGTGGGGTGGTGGTTCCTCAGTAGTAGTGGTGGTGGTGGTTGGTTCCTCAGTAGTAGTGGTGGTGGTGGTTGGTTCCTCAGTAGTAGTGGTGGTGGTGGTGGTTGGTTCCTCAGTAGTAGTGGTGGTGGTGGTTGGTTCCTCAGTAGTAGTGTGGTGGTGGTGTTGGTTCCTCAGTAGTCGTGGTGGTGTGTGTTGGTTCCTCAGTAGTCGTGGTGGTGGTCGTGTTGGTTCCTCAGTAGTCGTGGTGGTGTCGTGGTATGGTTCCCATAGCGTGTGGTGGTGTAGTTGGTTCCTCAGTAGTAGTGGTGGTGTGTGGTTCCTCAGTAGTCGTGGTGGTGGTGTGGTTCCTCAGTAGTCGTGGTGGTGGTGACTGGTTCCTCAGTAGTCGTGGTGGTTGGTTCCTCAGTAGTCGTGGTGGTTGGTTCCTCAGTAGTCGTGGTGGTTGGTTCCTCAGTAGTCGTGGTGATGGTGGTTGGTTCCTCAGTAGTAGTAGTGATGGTGGTTGGTTCCTCAGTAGTAGTGGTTGGTTCCTCAGTAGTAGTGGTTGGTTCCTCAGTAGTAGTAGTGGTGGTGGTTGGTTCCTCAGTTGTAGTAGTGGGTGGGGTTTGGGTTCCTCAGTTGTAGTAGTGGTGGTGGTTGGTTCCTCAGTTGTAGTAGTGGTGGTGGTTGGTTCCTCAGTTGTAGTAGTGGTGGTGGTTGGTTCCTCAGTTGTAGTAGTGGTGGTGGTTGGTTTCCCTCAGTTGTAGTAGGGGTTTGGGGGTTGGTTCCTCAGTTGTAGTAGTGGTGATGGTTGGTTCCTCAGTAGTAGTGGTGATGGTTGGTTCCTCAGTAGTAGTAGTAGTAGTAGTAGTAGTAGTAGTGGTGGTGGTGGTTGGTTCCTCAGTAGTAATGGTGATGGTGGTTGGTTCCTCAGTAGTAGTGGTGGTGGTGGTTGGTTCCTCAGTAGTAGTAGTAGTAGTAGTAGTGGGTGGTGGTGGTTGGTTCCTCAGTAGTAGTGGTGATGGTGGTTGGTTCCTCAGTAGTAGATGGTACGAAACACTGTGCTTCCCATGCCCAGGTACAAACATGGAGGTTAACATCAAAGAGGAGGTCTCCTGGGCACTGCATCAGGTATGCAACACCCCAGCTACAGGAGTAGTAAGTGCCACAGTCGTCAGGGTTGGGAAGAAGAGTAGCTTCTCCTGACTCTGTGACGGGACATAGAGCGTTGATGCCCGGAGGTGCACTCATTACAACACCGCAGTCTGACACTATAATTTGCATAGCGAGACCTATTAATGTAACCCAAGTGGCTCTCATTTCTGAAAGTCAAAGAAAATACAAATAAACGATTACAAACTTGTAAGGGCTAGCAATCCGAATTTAATTTAAATTACATTCTAACTAGTTAGACCATGTCAACTGTTTTTTCTGAAAGCCTTTGAAGGAAGGTTCATTGGTGTTAAAGGTCTCTTGATCCCAGGAAATTTAACACTCTCCCGCCCTTGATCCAAATTATATTTACCTACATACATAACAAATAATTATATTATATATATTTTAAAATAAAAAAAATATATATATAAATAAAAATAAAAATTATATTATATATATTAATATTTTTTAAATTTTATTATATAATATATGTGTTTTGGTGTGTGTGTGTTGTGTGTGGCACTCGATGTATGCACAAGGCTTATTCCCTAAAAAAAAGGAGGATAGATTAAAATAAAAAGCAGGCGCTCCCTTTACGGGCAAACGGAAAAGAATAAAAAGGCGCAAAAAGAGGTCAATATATCTGAAACCCTGGAGAACCCCCCTTAGAAAATACAAGATCAAACTTAAGCAAAGGAATTTTATAATAGGAATCGCGGGAAAAACTAAAACCATAAATAAAATCGAAAAAAACCCCTAAGTATTTCTTCTCCATCCCAAATCAAAGTCGAGAAAAACGTCCAGTTTTGGGGGCCCCCCAATTTAAAAAAGAGGGGTCCCACAGTGCAGCAAGGAAAGAGTGGCTACTAAAGCCCCAATATGACTCGATTTAGAAAGCGCAAACCAGACAGAGCAAAGTCAAATGAATTTTTATGAGAGACCCAAAATTTGTTTAACACAACCCTATCCGATTTTACCTGACGCCAAATGACTTCGAAAGGCATAAATACATGCCCTGACTCTGCCCCAGGGCCAACCAGGGACCAGTGTTCATCAAAAACTGCAAGAAGCCCCATCACGAGCCTTTTCCATCCTAGGGAAAGGGGGAGCATGGACACGGGGGTCGTCCCTCGTTACTAAAAAAACAGACATACCCCCCCCAAAAAGGGGGGAAAAAAAAGCAACAGCAAAGAACGCAGACCAATAGCACAAAACATCCATATCATAAAAATTTTTTGAAAGGGTCCTAAGAAGCAAGAAAACCACCATCTAAAACCCATCAGTTACAAAACCCCAGGGAAAGGGTTTAAAAACAGGTGCCCTCTGTCTAATACTGGATCACTACGACAAGGCCCTAAATGCACTAGAAGACAAAAGAATGGATGTAATATAAAAGACTTTGCAAAAGCCTTCGACAAGTGGACCATGGCGTAAAGCGCAAAAATGGCGCAAAAGGGATAACGGGAAAATCGGTCGTGGATCTAAATTTCCTCATAAAAGAACACAGAGAGTGTCGTCAAAGTAAAGTCGAGGGGACGGTGAAAAGCTCTGTTCCACAAGGCACATAAGCCCCTTTTTCCCCATCCTATATCCGACATAGAAAGGATGTCAGCCACAGCACCGGTCTTCCTTTGCAGTAACCCGAAACTGATGACATGTCTTCCATTGCGCACTGCAAGGTCCCGGCGGCATCACCCAAAACTTTTAGGGGGTGCAGAAAACAATATGAAGTTCAAAAGATGAGAAATTTCAATTCTTTATGGTAAACATGAGGAATTAAATTTCTCAGAGTACAAACAAATTCTGGCCAAAATAGAGCGAAAAACCAAAAGTCAAAAACCTGGGAGTGATTATGTGGAGGGTTTACCTTAAAGGACCATAACATTGTATCAATCGCATCTGCTAGAAAAATGACAGGATGGATAATGAGAACCTTCAAAACTAGGGAGGCCAAGCCCTTGTTCTATCTAGGCTGGAATATTGCTGCACTCTAACAGCACCTTTCAAGGCAGGTGAAATTGCCGACCTAGAAAATGTACAGAGAACTTTCACGGCGCGCATAACGGAGATAAAACACCTCAATTACTGGGAGTGCTTGAGGTTTCTAAACCTGTATTCCCTGGAACGCAGGAGGGAGAGATACATGATTATATACACCTGGAAAATCCTAGAGGGACTAGTACCGAACTTGCACACGAAAATCACTCACTACGAAAGCAAAAGACTTGGCAGACGATGCAACATCCCCCCAATGAAAAGCAGGGGTGTCACTAGCACGTTAAGAGACCATACAATAAGTGTCAGGGGCCCGAGAGTGTTCAACTGCCTCCCAGCACACATAAGGGGGATTACCAACAGACCCCTGGCAGTCTTCAAGCTGGCACTGGACAAGCACCTAAAGTCAGTTCCTGATCAGCCGGGCTGTGGCTCGTACGTTGGTTTGCGTGCAGCCAGCAGCAACAGCCTGGTTGATCAGGCGCTGATCCACCAGGAGGCCTGGTCACAGACCGGGCCGCGGGGGCGTTGACCCCCGAAACTCTCTCCAGGTAAACTCCAGGTATATATATATATATATATATATATATATATATATATATATATATATATATATATATATATATATATATATATATCTGCGTCTGTTTTACTTATTCCAATAATAAATCTAAACTTATATTTTAAGCCTTTAACTCTTCCTAAAAGATAACATTTGAGAATAATGCTAAATGACATTAAAAATTGTTATATGTATTTTGTATTTAGTTACTGACGTGAGAATTATTTAAAATAAAGAGCAAAGTTAAACCAAATAAGTCACCATTTGGTACAAACTCAAACTTTCCGTACCTGTGTGTGATGCTGCGTATGTGGTTTATATATTCGAAGCCGGCGGTCGTAGCTCTGTGGAGTGTAGAGCAGTGACGTAATAACACTAGGAGCAGCAGTAATAGTAGTAGTAACAGCAGCAATAGTAGTAGTAGTAGTAGTAGTAGTAGTAGTGGTGGTGATAACTGCTAAAAGACTGAAGTTCATCCTGGCTGCAGCGTTCATATACCCATCATCTTATCTGCTTTAAGTAGTAATCAATGATGCATTTCCTTCCTTTGGGAAACACATCGAGGTGTCTAATCGTGACCACCTTTTTTCTTTTATAGATTAATTCTTATCTTCCTTCGTGATGAAATTTTAAGAAGAGAAAATGGAGGTAGAGGCTTTCCATTTCTTTTATTATTAACCAACTCATCAGAATCAACGTAACCCCCAAAATCCCACCTTCAAGAAAGACGCTTGTATGCTGGAAGGGCTCTTTATACAAGGAATCTGAGTTACTACCTTGTATCAAACCTAATTACCGTTGCCCTTAATAGTTTAGCGCTCCCTCATAAATGTAACACGCTGTTAGTGTAAAGGTAGCTCGATCGAACCACGGACCTTAGCTCACACCCTGAAGTCCGTGGTTTGATCCCCGGTACGAGTGGACGTATTTCCTTAACACACCTGTTGTCTATGTTCACCTAGCAGTCAAATAGGTACCTGGGTGTTAGTCGACTGGTGTGGGTCGCATCCTGGGTCAAAACTGACCTAATTTGCCCGAAATGCTCTGCATAATAAGGGCTTTCTAGAGTAATATAACATTAATGTCAGCTATGGTCTGTATACCTTGTACGTGTACTTGTTGAAATAAAAGATTATTATTTACATTATTATTATTATTATCATCTTCCGAGATCAGAGGCACGGATGTGATAAACAGCTCTTGTCAAGAGTGTCACCTGTCACACGTGACACCACCATTGACAACAGTATGATGCTATACTGACAGATTATGTGATCCTGTTTCAATTCACGATCGTGAGGTCTAAGTCTACATCTTCGAATTCTGTCCTGATGGTGCCTTCATGTGGACCAAGTTTATTAGATTAAACTGTTATACAACCAGATGCACCCAACCTTTACGGGTCTAAGTTCTACAAGGCTGAGGGAAGGTTTCGTCAAAGAGGAACAGTAAAATAAACTTATAAAAAAAAACAAGGAAAGCCAAAGTTGACTCACTGTCAGTCATTTTGTCAAAAAGTCAGTAACTGCACTGAAGGCGGAGCTTTCTGAAAGCAGATCAAAGTGAGAGTACCCAGGCCTAAGAAAAGTGAACTTTGATTCTGATAAATATCATTAATCGAAGGATGTTTGACTGTCAGAGGGACGCAAATACTTTCAGAAACGTGGAGGTGCCTCTTAGTCTTGTGAGGACATCAAGCAGTGTAATGAGGTCACTTCCCTCAAACGCAACAGTAATGAGAAGTCTAACAAGAACCCAACAACGATCAAGAACAACTTTTTGTCCTCTTAACAAGTACGAACAACACTGCCATCGATCCCAGATGTTCAGACACAAGAGGATTCTAGTCTAAATAGAATAAAAAGGCACAATACCATGACTGGAACATTACACAAATATCCCACACATAGGAGAAAAACTTATGACGACATTTCGGTCCGACTAGGACCATTAACTGATGATCCCAATCGAACCGAAACGTCGTCTTTAGTTTTTCTCCCATGTATTCTAGTCTAAATATGGTAAATTCCTGCGAGATGGACAGATCCTGGACTGCGGAATGCGCAGTCTCTCACAGTGTTCATGATTGTAGCCATGTATAAACGTAAGTAAATTTACTTGCATGGTTCATTACCTTTGTAACCTGTGAGTTCATTACCTTTGTACCTAGTTCAGCTATCAAAACTTTGGGGGCCAGTCCCTGGACCCATTATGTACCTCTATAATCTTTTGACTACCACCCACAGGATGGGTATGGGCTGCATAATAAACATATTAAACTAAGCTAAAATTTATTGTGCATTACCCTGGACATCAGACTGACCAGAGACCCAGCAAAAGACGATGATTTTATGCTTGCTGGAGAAGGAGCTAACATTAAATGTGAAGAACAAGCGGATGAGGCGACTCAAAGCTCAGAGCTTGCAAGGCAGTCAGACAATAGAAGCACTGTGATTGATAACTGCAAGAAGTGGGTATATCAGCCGTTGAAACACTAACCTAATCCTGGAAGCAGTCATGCATCACTCTCAGGAAAAACAAAACCAGTGCTTAACCTATAGAGGATTTAAGAGCCACAAGTGTACACAACAACAGCAGCAGTATGCGAATAATTGAAAATGGTCAAGGAAAAGAGAGCACACGTTCAGAGAGATTGAAGAAAATCAAAACTTTGGGGCCCAGTCCCTGGACCCATTGTGTGCCTCTGTAATCTTTTGACTACCGGGCCCACAGGATGGGCATGGGCTGCATAATAAACATATTAAACTAATTAAAGAAAATCATCGGTACCTTTTAATTATAATAACAATCTTTATTTCTTCAAGTACATGTACAAGGTATACAGGCCTAGCTGACATCAATGACAATGTGGAACAGAAAAGAAAAACAAGGTGAACAGGAAAGGGCAGATTGAGGGAAGTCAAGTCTGAAAATGAAGAATAAAATGACGCATTAAATAAAGTGTCAGTTTTGCTAATGTATGACTTTCTAGAAGTCGTAGTCATTATGAAAGCAAACCCGAGTGTAAGCTCAATAACTCGAGTTATGTAATGAAGATTCTATATAGGCTATTACGTTGCAAGTTTGTTGAATACACGAGGCTCCATGTCACCTGTACACTAAACAAGAACTCTAATCCCTGAAAGAGAATTAAAGTAACAATATAGCATCCATATATCTCTATTTTATTTACCATTTGTGTGAAAGTTATGCATTCATTTATATATTTTTTTAACACTGGTCTCCCCACAGAGAAGCCACCACTACAAGAGCGACGTCTCTTACGAAAAACAAAGCAATTTTAAAAGTATATAACATAACCAATAGGGTAGGTAGACAAAAATATTGCCTCTATTCCAACAAAATTAAGCTAAATTATATTCTTATCTGACGCAAAATGAGAGACGTAACAAAATAATGGCCAATGACTAGCATAATGAATGGACCCGGATGGTGAAGACGTTTATCAGTCAAGTGACAGGATGAAGTATTCAGGGCTATGCTGGACGCGCCTGTAGACCGGGTATCATGACACCAGTTTTAGGACTCGCTTGTCATACGTTTTAACCACCAGTACCGTGGTATTTTTAGACCGGTTATGTCTGGTACCGTAGATCACCTCAAGGCCAAGGTGCTCACTCGAGATGGAAGTGGGATGGAACAGGTTGAACCAAGGGCCTCGGCTGCAGGTGGTCGAGGCCTTGAACACAACTGGCGAGGTAAGTAGGCAGTCTTAACAGTTCAGAATCTGGTTCAATATTAGTCTATTAGCGGTCGCTAATGTAACTTATCCTTAGATCTTGACTTATGAAAAGCTGACATGTGGCTGAAAGCCTTAAAATGAATACATGTCTAGGCTAATTCAAGCAATGTGAACTAAAATAGGCAGCCAACAACCTAAGTTCAACAATATATAATCCAATAAAAACCACTATCCCAGAGGGGTGTTGTTTTTTTAATTGGTGGGGTGGTGTAATGATCATTCCTTGACCAGGTCTTGATGGAACCAGTTCCACAAAGTCTTAGCAGCAGTATTAGTAGTGAGTGAAAGATCGCCACTATCCATTTCTCGACATGTTCTACAGTCGAGCTGAAAATAAACAATGAATGAAGGAACCCTGATGCAGGTGAAGGGCTCTGAGGAATATTAAGGAATTGTCTCCCATTTCCCCCAGGCGGTGAGTGACCCTTATAGGCTCAGATATTTCCCCCAAATATAATAAACCTTGGCCATGTCATAGGATAAAGTATGAACGTAAAGTAAATCAAAACCAGGTCTCCAGGCGATCACATCACTAAATCTTGTAATCACACGTGGCAATTAACTTTTCAATCAGTAATGGTTAGCGAAATTACGCAATTAAGCCCAGTAACCCACTCGTACTCTCATATATACATCATACTCAACAGATAAACTTTCCCTCAAATATACTGCGTCTCAAAATGGTTTCCGGTGTTGCACAAGAGGCGCGAATTACGTCATGGTGGCCGGGTGTCTCCCGAGAGCCACTTACGTCCATATCTCTGACGTTCGTATTATTATGGCGAAGATAACACCACAGGTCATCTGCTGAAGATGTGATAGCATGTACGCAAAAGCAGGTCGTCGTGGGCAGAAAAAATGTACTAAGTGTAACAATCTGTCGTATGACTCACCAAATCAGTCTGGGGAGTGATGTAGTGGAGGCAGGAACCATACATAGCTTTAAGACTAGGTATGATAAAGCTCAGGGGGCGAGAGGACCTAGTACCGTTCAGTGAAGAGCCGGGGCCAGAAGCTGAATCTCGACCCCAGCAACCACAATTAGGCGAGTACACGATTGCAAACAAACCATACCACGGGCGGGGTTAGAACCCGCGATCAGTCTCAAAACTCCAGACCGTCGCCCAGTGGCTAACGCGACGGTCTGGAGTTTTGAGACTGATCGCGGGTTCTAACCCCGCCCGTGATATGGCTTAATCTGTCGTACTTTTTGATAAACTATCAAAACTTTGCGGCCCAGTTCCTGGACCCATTATGTACCTCTGTAATCTCTGACTACCTCCCACAGGATGAGCCGAAAAAGGTATCCCTGTATTGCACAACCCCAGCTTCCTCCTTTCTCAACACATGCGATAAGAATAGTGCATAGTGCGGCCAAAGTTTTTAATGCAGTTAAATATTAATGTTTGAAGATTTGAGGCAAATCCAAAGACGTGTCACAAGTTGTAACATGGACAGCAATACCCCAATTTCTAAAATAAAAAAAAGATGGCAAATTAGGACATACACAGCCCAAAACTAATCCAAACTTTCCACTAAGAAGCAAGATTTGAAGCCAAGCTGAGGAGGCATTCTATTGTCATCTTAAAAGACAAAGATATCTTAAAATACACCAGCACATTAAGTTAAGCAACATAGAATCTACATTATCACGTTATCAGCATTGTAAGTTCACGTCAGTCGGACGACACTCAAAAATTATCGCACAGAAACTAATTTTTTCATA